GTCCTCTGGAGAGTATTTTCTGTTTTTCTCTCAGTCCCCCAAACAGCTTCTTAAACCGCCTGCTCCTGAGTTATGTTTCAAACCAGCACAATCACGCTCTTCTCTAAAGCTCTGCTGCAGCGTTTGAGCTCAGCAGGAGGCTGATTAAAAGAGAAAGACATTCACATCACCTTTGAGACTCGGAAACACCGACATTTTCCAACCGAGCTGCCGGCGCTCACAAAGAGACATGTGGCAAAAACGAGTGAAAAGAAGTAAAAATTTTGTTTTTTTAGTCAATATTCGTGGATTCGTGCTGAAAATTAATTTATTTTGGAGACTTCTCTCTGATTCTCTGAGTTACTTCCTCTTGACCTTTAAGCAGAAATATTTAAAAGACATTTCCAGTTTTTTTTTCTCCCTTTTTGTTGAAAATCAGGAACTTTTTTCTCTGAACTTCTTGGTTGGAGGAAACCTCTCACTGAAACACAGTGAGATATATGTGATAGAAGAGACTGCGATCATAAACAGAGGGAGAGTTTCCAGATGATGGTGTTAAGAGCGAGAAGGTGCCAATCCAGCTATCTGTGGAATCATAAAGACGCCGTGTGGAGGAGCGATTGAAATAGATCCAGCCGCCGCAGCTCCTTTTTCAGAGCGAGGAAATGAAACACATCGAATTAAACTCTGAGGTTTCACTCTGCTCCCCTGCTGAACTCGGCCTCCTACATTATTTTTCTTTTCACACATGATCAGTTTACAATAATGTGAGTAATGTAATCGCCGCTCTCCTGGCTGAGGTTTCCACCGCAGTGCTCAATCGCCACTGCAGCAGCAGCAGCAGCGAGGCGGGTAACGCCGTTAGCGTTTCCTGCGGTATGGATTAGAAACAGGACGTGAGGCCCGGTGGTGTTAGAGCCGAGGAGTTTAGGATACATGAGGTTAAAGCTGTTTAATTACAGAGACGATGATCTCTGAGTTTCTCTCCTTTTGTTTGGACTGAAAATCTGATCCAGACTCAGAGCTGCAGAGTTAGAGACACAAACTCAACGTCTGGAAACTTCTGCCGTCTTTTTGTTAACACTTCCCTTTAGATTTGATTATCGTCTTTAGACAAAAAATGTCCTTTTATTAAAGTCACATTTCTGCTTTTTTCACCTTTTGAAACTTTTGTCTTTTCTGACACAGTTACACCCAACTTCCACCTTCGTCCTGATCGTCTCCTAAAAGGTCGTATCCTCTGATCGTAGCTGATCATAACCATTCAAGTTAACGTGTCAAAGAGTTCTATTTTTTCTGGACGCCGGAGCATGGCGGATAAATTCAGCACAGATTAACCCGTGCTGGAGAGGAAGTCCGGCCCAGACGAACAAGTGAAAGGTTTTTAGACGTCATTTCACCCCGATGACACCATGGATGAGGAGATACTGATTCTAGAAGTCTAGAAGTAGATTTCCTCCTCTGGAAGGACACAATCTACTGCTTATATGTCTATGTGTCTGTCTTTGTAGAGACAGCTCGTTATCGTGCGATTGAACATGAATCCACGAGTTCTTGTGAGTTCTCTCTGTCTGTAATCAGCCATGAAATTCACCTCACCAACAGATCTGTTGGGAATCGGCGGGCGGCGAAAATCGCTGTTCCGGATGTGGTGAAAATTGGAGGTAAGCCGACAGTTTCAGCCACGCCGAGTTTCCGACTGTCGTCCGCTCACTCAGTAGATTGTTGAGAGGTCTGAACACGTTAACTTCCTCAAACTCATAGATATAAACTCTCATAGATGTGACCCCAGAGTCCGTCCTCCTCACGCTGAAACAAGCTCAGTCTGAAGGTAATCTTCTTAAATGTGTTTCAGCCCACAGTCACAGTGTTTTTCCCGCCGGCTGTTTTCAGAGCCGCGGTGTCAGAAGGAAACAGAGTCGATGTTGCAGGAGCTGATCACATTCTCCGAATCCTCTCACAGCTACCAGGGTCTCCTTCTTCGTCTTCTCCGGGGGATCAGATGGAGCGGTGGAGGCACCATCACAGAGCAGTAATCTTACAGTGGGAACATGGACTGCAGGGGGTGGAGTGAATTAGCAGATACTTCAGACAGCAGCAGCAGCAGCAGCAGCGGTCGTGTATGATGTCTGCGGCACAGCTGGATTCAGGCTGGATTTACACTAAAGAGAAAAGTTTCTGCTGGTTTAAATTCATCCAAACGTACGTGACAAACCCTGATTTAGATCTGAGAAACCGACACGTCGTTCTGATCGTTTTAAACATCGAATTTCACGGAAAGATAAAATCCAGAGTGTGAAATGAACACGTCTTAATCTGTCATCAATAATCAAGTAAATCCTCTCAGATCCACAACAAGAAATCATCACATGTTTGGTTTTTTTTTCAAACTCTCCTCTTTCCTCAGATTAATATTTCATCTATCGCTCACTTCCTTATGAAGGTTATGAAACTTACACTGATGTCTGACAGCTGGTGGCGTCACACGTCTGTTTAAAGTTGGTAAAGTTCACTTCCTCCTCACCGTGAACTTCCAGGTGAGGAGAAACACAGAGGTGCTGAGGTCCAAACTGGAGCGGTTTCTGACATGTCGCTAAAGTTACTGCATCGCCATCAGCCTGTTACTCTCCTGTAGAACCAGACCAGAAAAATAGAACTCTTGTGATCAGCTGAGGAGTCCGGCGATCCTCAGAGGAACGGAAAGAAGTCGGTGTAAATTGACACGTTAACTTGAATGGTTACGATCAGCTACGATCGGAGGATACGACCTTTTAGGAGACGATCAGGATGTGGTTGAAATCGGGGGTAACACGGTTGCACAAAAACTGCACATTTCAGACTCATCACGCAGGAAGACATTCCAACCTTCAGATTCTGAGTCTTTAACAGCATCTGTGTCTGTTTAATGTTCTTTAAACTGGTTTGATTCACACCCTTCTTTGCTCTCAGTAAAAGGTTTCGTTGTCATGGTGAAGGTCGTCTTTTTGCAGCTAACTAACATAGAGCTTATCTGAGCCAATCAGATTTGATCAGTTCAGTATTGAGTAAAAAATATCCAGATTTTTAATTTTCCTCGCACAGATTCCTACAGGTTGGTGTCGTACTAACCTGAAATCTTGTCCACTCCCACTCACACGGTAAAGGTTAGAGTGGACTCAGACTCCATCACTCCCACAGCGTCTGAAGGAAAGCTGCTCGCTCAGAGTGAATCTACGATGATTTGATAAATGACTCTCCTCAGAGGTCCGAGGACTCTTACTTCTTGAGTGCTCTTCGTTTCGGGTGGAGGTGGATGGATGTGTAATTTGCAGGAGTGGTGGTGGGTTAGGGGGGTTTTGAAGGACCGGCGCACACACCTCAGGGAAGAGACCGCCCACTCAGCCTCCTCTGGATGTGGGTCACACCGTGTTTTCTTTGGGGTCTCGGCTCCATTATGGTGTTTATCTGAACAGAGATGAAGTACACGCTGTCGTATCTCTGCTCTTCAGAGTTATTTTTAACATCCATCTGCAAATTGACTCACTGCATTGAGAGTTTCTTTCGACTCAGGGCACCAGGATCCAACGCCGTTTGATGTGCGAGGAGGTGATTTCATATCGTAAAAGAGAAGTCAGGTGACAGGAAGAACAAGATCGCAGTTACAAGCGTCTGTTTCCGAGCTGCGAGTATCTGATCATGACGTCTCATTGGTGAGGTGTTCAGGTCGCGTCCAACAGGTGGGAGACCACGGGAAGACGGAGGACACGCTGGAGAGACTCTGTTTCTGGAAGAGCTCGACGAAGTGGTTCCAGGAGAAGAAGTCTGGGTTCCTCTTCTGAGTCTGCTGCCCCCACGACCTGAACAGGAAGGATGGAAGTCGAAGTCGACACGGTAACACATCCAACTCTGTCCAACATCCAACATCCAACCACCTCCACCCTCGACTCTGTCAAGTTCACATGAGTCTCTCTGATTTATAAAATAACTTTAGTTTAGTAAAAGCACATTTAGAGAGAAATCATCTGTCAGGTGTGTTTGAGCTCCTGTTACCGACATCAGAGAGTCTGTGTTTCTTAACTAAGGCCTGATATAACTTTAGGGTTCCTGCTGTTTCACTGTTGTGTGATTTAACTTTGTGTATTTATGTCTGATGTTGTTTATGTGTTTAGTGATCAAAAATATTTGGTTTATGCTCTAAAATCTCAGAAGTTTTGTAGCAGATCCTGTGATTTTACATTTATTCTGATTAAAGAACTTGTCAGGTTCGATCGGTCAGACTCACTAAAGTTATGAAAATCTAAATTATAACTAAACCACAAAGATAAAGTTTTTTCTTCTCTGTTTCTCAGAATGACGACCACTAACTCCAGGTTTTATTAAGCTCTCCTGAAACCGGAGGATGAAGCCGTCAAACTAAGACCATGGTCTGATTTTATGTTGTAGGTTCTTGTATTTTCTGAGTTTCTTATGAAAAATGAAACTTCAGTTCAGAGGTTTTTAACTGAGCTTTAGTTTTTATTTGTTTTTATTTCCATGTGCTGATGATGTTCTGAGCTTTTAGACTGTTTGTCAAAGAACTTTGTAAACTTCTGTTTTTAAAACTACGATATAAATAAAGTTATTATTATTATTATTATTATTATCATGTTTTCTACAGACCACAAATCTGTGTCTCTGTTTCCATCAAATTAAACTTCAACTTAATGTTTCAAATAAAGAAAACAAACAAACAATTATTAAAAAGCTGAAATTAAAAACCCAAAAAGTAGAGATGTGAAAATAATAAATATATATTTTTACTAAGGATCATGTTTGTCCGTTTTTTTTCATCTTAAAGTTTAAAGTTTTTCTCTCTGTCATGATTTTAACTCATTAAAATCCTGAACAAACTAACGGCGGGTAAATCAGCTGACTGTCGCCCTGTTGACCCTTCCATCCATCCTCCAGGTTGTTCTCGTACCCGTCCTTCAGCCAGCAGCCAACAAACAACTCAATAGTCTCTCTCTCTCTCTCTATTTTCTTTTTCTCTCCGAGTTCTTCAAGGTTTCTTTTGCATTCAAGAAAAACACTCGTGGGAGTCTAAATGTGCGAACACGTGAAGAATGCTTTCAGGCAAAGAAAGGCGTTTTTTTCTCCTCCTGCTCTGACAAAAGGCTGAAGATGACTGTCGGTACGAAGGAAACGCAAGCAGACGTTTGAGCGATGCAAATCCATAAGCAGAGGTGTGTTTCTAATTGCTCCTGTAGGTTAATTGTCTGATTAAAATGAAGTTCTGTCAAAGAGAAGAAATCATTTCCTCAAGGTTTCACTAAAGGAAGACGTCCGTAAAGCAGCAGTTTAATCCTGATTAAAACAAACGCTCAGTGATTACCAAGATCTGTCCTTGAAACAACGTGAGTCAAACTTTGGCCTCTGAGGGAGCGCACGGCTCACATGATTCCTGTTTAATTAAAACAGACGAAGATCACACAAAGAACATGATGTTGGACTGAGAGGAAGTTCACTGTGGAGGACGGAGAAAAACTACGAACTCTCGGAGGTCGTCAAACTCCATCAGTCAGATTCTAAACATAAATTCATATAAAATATTTTCGTCAATGAAAACAAGACTGCAGCTCAGGGTTTATGTGTCCCGACCAGAAGGCTGTAATACCGACTCAAGTCATGCTTCCATGTTGTGGATTCAGTCAGGTGTAATCCTGTTGAGTTGATCACTGATCTCCTGACAGTTCAGAGTCACGTTTTTACCGTCTTGAATAAAAGAGGAAGTTGAAGTTCCTGCTGATTTCCTTAAAATCATTACAGACGTGTTTACGACTCTTCCCCCCACGCTGCTACACAGCATTATCATTAACGTGTTGCTATGACAACGTTTCGACCAATACATGCTGATCCCACTTTTTCACATGCGTTGAAAAACAGTTTTTGTTTTACACTCGGAGTGAAATCTGCCGGACGACGGCGGCTCAAATTGTCCATAATCTCTTGTTGGACGTCAGTAATGAGGGGGTGAAGGACCGTGAGAAACACGTCTGTTCAAGTCTGGGGGGGCGGGGCCTTAAAACAAACGTAAAAACCCTCCTGATGGGGTGAATAACCTTCCTGTCACCTGACTCCAGGGTTTTTTTGCGAGTCACATGTTGCATGAATTGAACGTTCTCGTAGATCGTCTCTATCTGCGACGTTTTCTCCGATGTTTTCGTCCCTGAATCTGGATTTGTTTTTCTTTCCTGCAGGTCAGTTTCCTCCCCTGACTGGTTTCCTCTCCTCGAGCCGACTGTTCTGAATTTAGCCTCACGCTGACACCATCACAATAATAAAATTACTTACACCCCTCGCTGGCAGACGCCGAACATTGTCTGCTCTCTGGGAAGAATAAGGTGTGAGAAATAAATCAAGGTGGTGTCTTCGTGGATAAAAATAAGACTCCTCCGTCGGAGTCTGTTGACCTGTGGGATATTTACACTTCAAACGCCGTTATTCCTGCTGGGGGGCGGGGTCCTCGGAGTCCTCCCAGGTTGAACCCTTGAAGAAAATAAGGCGGAACAGTTTGGATCCTCCATCCTCCCTGCAGATGACTGAGCAGGTAAACAGGCTTTCAAAGGTGGAGGAGAGGTGACGGAGTGAACCTGAGACTTCATCAAAACCAACGTTCAGAGGAAATTAAAGGTTATTTTCACCATCGCACCAACGCCGGAGTCACTTCTTCAAATGTAACAAACAGATGAGGATGTTCGCTCGTCTCAGCAGCCATTACGGCTCTCAGAGGAGCCATTATGGAGAGGAAGATCGCCATTACTCACCCTGAGCAGCAGTGAGTGAGGAGCATCAATTACTCTGACTCCTCTCGATGTAATCCAGAGAGGAGGAGGAGAGGAGCAGAGGCCAACTGTAAACCTGTTTAACAGTAATGAGCTTCACCTCACAGGCGGCTAAAGACAAAAACACTCCCGTCTGTTTCTTTTACTCTCTTTAATATTCAGTTTGTTTTATTCAGTCGTGAAGCAGTTTGGGACTCGGCCTCATAGATGGAGAAGGATTATTTCTGTAGTTTTAATCCCAGGCTGACTGTTTAATCTGAAGACAAAGCTCTTTAAATCTTTGTGTTTCTGATCAATAATGCAGCAGATCTGAATGTGAAGTTTTCATCATTAATGAATAACGCAGAGGAAGTGATCGGATCTGATTGTAATTGATCTAAACGGGTCGAACAGTAAGAACAATAGAAGAGGGAAGAACTCCAAACTCTCTAAAATAAAACCTCAGAGGGTTTGAAGCAGAAAACTAAGCAGAGTATTTTAATATTTTATAGACTTTGTGAAGCGAAAGATCAGAAGATCTCAAACTGAGTGAGAATTACAGCGTCGTAGTTAAATAAGAGCGAAAACTGAAGGTGTTTGTTTGTGTTCATTATTTATTGTTTTAGCTGCTCAAACAAACGGAAAAACTCAGTGACGTGAACTGAGGTCGAGTTCGTAACAAAAACAGACTTAAAATGTTTTTATAAACTGTGTCGAACAACAACGTAACAACCAGAGTGTCACGCAAAAACACAGGAAGAGGACGAGTGACGGTTCCTGTTTACTGTTACAGACAAACGTCAAGTCCTCAAACAGCAGCTGTCTCGTCAACAGTTTACATGATCGGAATAAAAAAGTGTCAAATAAACATGGAAGGAAACCCATTTCAGCCACTTGTATCTGTGATCTTGTTCTTTCGGTCATTAAAGTTCATGATCATAGGTGAGGATCGGCACGTAGATCCACCGGTAAATTTAGAGTCTCTCCTCACGGCTCAGCTCTTTCTTCACCATGACTGATCGGTTAAGCGTTACTGCTGACGCCGCTCCGATCCGCGAGAGGAGTCAGCTGAGGTGGCTCGGGCGTCTGGTTAGGACGCCTTCTAGACGCCTCCTGTTCTCGCCTGGCCTGGGAGCGCCTGGAAATCCCCTGGAGGAGGAGCTGGTGGAAGTGTCCGGGGTGAGGACCGTCTGGATTTCCCTCCTGAAGCTGCTGCCCCCGCGAAGACAACGACGACGACAAACATGTAAACACTTATTCCAATCATGGCTCTCTGTCGGGGCCAAACTTACCTGACTTCACATGTGTGACACGTGTGTGACAAGATGAAAACATGGCGGAATCTAAGAGTAGTTGGTTTGTCTCTGACATCACTTTCTTACTAACGCAGGATCAGGATGTGCTGTTAGCTTGATGATCATGTACGTTAGGAGCAACAACTGCTCTCAGATCCTGAACTGGATGAAGTCGGAGCCGCTACTGCGTTTGTTGAAGCAAAGGCGTAAATACAACTCTTCTTCTTCTTCTTCTTCTTCTGCTTCTGTGGTTGTTTTAGCAAAATTAGCCAAACTCTGCTCATGTTCAACTCGTCTAATCTGAATAAATCTCGGCGCATGTTTCACACGTCATGATCGGATTTATTTGATTTTGCTCCTATAAAAAACGGTGAATTCAGATTTTCCCGTCCCTTTAATTTTTAATCAGATTAAGACATTTTTCACGTTATTCTTCTTTTATCATAATTTTTAGTTCTTTAATATCCTGATTCACTTTCTCACAACTCCATTTATTAAGATTTTGATTTTATTCTTTAGATTTTAAGACTTTTTTCTCCTTCATGTGTCTTTAAAACTCTGTTACGGTTGAAGCTGAAAACGTCATCCTTGTACCTGCTCGTCTAAGTCCTCGCTCGTTGTTGGTTGGCTCACTGCGTCTCTAATGGAGACCGTGGAGAGGTTCATGATCGGGCTTCAAAGGTGCGATAATTCGATGTTGTAGTAGATTGGTTTCTCAGCAGGACTCTGACTCTGCGCTCTGATTTAGTCCTGGTGTCGAGCTGCTTCTGCTCTGATGCGGTTTCACAGTCTTTAGTTTGGGAGGTTGTTCAGTCTCCAGGTCCTCTGACTCGATGAGACCCTCGGGACTCTTCTGTCTCCTTTAGATGCAGCTGTAAAAAAACCAAACAAACAAAAAGGGACTAAAGCAGATCTAATGTGGCCGTCTGCAGTCAATGAGGCATGAAGAACCGTGTTCTCGTGTCTCTGAACCTGCGCTCTCAAGAACAAAAGGTCGACTGTGGATAGATTTCTGTTAAAGCTGCCCAGTGGGACCGTGGGTAAAATCTTTCATCCACACACCGGGGAGCCACCAAGAGTATGAAGAGAGTGATCCCCGGGGAAATAAGACACCAGGAAGAGGGGATCAGAAAACCGCAGCGTTTCTGCAGCTTCTGGAAACTCAGTTTAAAACAGAAAAACTGTGAAAATAATCGAATAAAATTTCAGATTTCGTAAATATCTAAAAGAGAACAAACCCTCAAAACAGTTCAACTAGATAACACTTATAGACAGAACTTTAGAGTCTAAATCCTGGAAATGAGCAGAAAGAATGAGCTGAAAATAAAAACCACCAACAGCTGAATATTTGTAGATTTCCTGTTTGATGATTGAAGAAAGTAAAAACACCACAGAGAGAGTTACGCTGCGTTCCAGTTACCTCGATGTCGGAGCTGTGAATGAGGTTATACCCGACTTTAGGGTGTTTCACTAGTCTTCCAGTAAACAAGTTGGAAAAACAAGATGGACGCCTACTGTTAGCTTTTGTTAGCCGTTAACAGCTGTTGTTAGCGATTGTCGGCCGTTGTTAGTTGTTGGTCAGCACAACATAAACCACTAATTTAATTTCACTAAAACAAAACAGAAGTGCTGATAAATAAAACATTACCAGAGTTTTCACTGTTACTCTTACTATGACGTTGTCGTCAAATCGGGGTTGGTGAGGACCGTCCGAGTTTCCGAGTCAGACGATTGTTTCAGATGAATATCCAATTCGGAGCTCGGAATTACCGACTTCCGAGTACATCTGGAACGTACCATATATACTTTAAAAAAATCCTCGTTAATCGTTCGGTTATCTACGACTCCTGTTTCTCACTTCTTTGCTCTCTGCATATCTGAACTTCACGAGCTAATGCTAACAGTAACAGTAAAAACCTTTAGCTGCACCAAAAACCAGTTACAGACGAATGATTTCTAAAGACCGTTACCGTTTATTTAAAGTCCGTAGTGTGAGACGAGTAAATACTTAAACCCCGTAGAAGAAAACTAAAGGTGTCAGTGTTTTATTTTGAAAAGAAGCCGGATGTTTTATTTTGTGTTTGTGCCCGACTTCCTTTCCAGCACGGGTTAATCTGTGCTGAATTTATCCGCCATGCTCCGAGAACTCTTGCTATCAGCTGAGGAGTCCGGCGATCCGCAGAGGAACGGAAAGAAGTCGGTGTAAATTGACATGTTAACTTGAATGGTTACGATCAGCTACGATCGGAGGATACGACCTTTTAGGAGACCATCAGGATGAAGGTGGAGATTTGGGGGTCACACTCTTTTGGAAAGGACAGTTGGACTTACTTGAGTCCCAAGTAAGTCCAACTGTCCTTTCAACAAAGAACTGTAAATCATAGATGCTGCATCCTCAGTTTTCGACAAGATCTCCTGGTTAGAAGAAAGTTAAAGGTTCATCACAGATCCAGCAGTCTGCAGGTTGAACGGTCAGTATGTTTCCTCACAGGTTTTCAGACTTTTATCAGAGTTCGTTGTTTCCTCTGAACCACCGGTGTGTTTAAACGTCTCTCCTCCGCTCGTCTGCAGAGTCGAGGTTTCTCACTCGTCGTCCTCGGCTCCAGAAAAACACTCTCCCTGTAAAAATCTGAGACCTTTTCTGAGCGCGCCCGATGTTCCCTCCGCTCCGGCCCCCGCCGAGCTTTCTCTCGGTCACACGGGCCTCATCTCGCAAATTTCTCTGACATTTATGAAACAGGATTAGGTGGGCTTATCGCCATCTGCGCCGAACATACCTCTGAATCACGCCACGCACGACTCAGGGAACAACCTGAGGATGAAAGTCGGCGAGGAACACCTATTCATGTCAGGTAGAGACAGTTAGACGTAGAGGTCCTCGGTTCCTGTTTCTGGAGCTGCAGCGGCTCACGGTAAACAAACACGACCCCTCTGAGGTTCACGTTCCTGCTGATCTGAGTCAAAGAGACACCGAATCAAAGGCTCATGAGATCCAGCAGCAACTAAAAACACGACTTGAAAAGAAATCAGAGGCTTTAAGTTCAAAAGAGCGATTGAAAATCTCGCTTCTTTCCCTGAAATCTGTGAGCGCCATAGTGGCGGTCTCTATATTTAGACGGCTCATGTCGTTACCAATCAGGAGGAGTGTGAAGCGTGACTTTTTAGAGACGCTTTCAGATGAAAACATCGGACTGAGGCGTCAGATAAACAGGCGACAGCGGCGGCAGGATCGCTAATGACTGATGAAGACGTAGACGTAATTAAGACCCGAGGATCAGGTCGTCAGAGCAGGTGATGACAGCTTCCTCTTTCATGTGCGGCGTGCATGAGTGGCAGAGCGTCACGGCGTGGAGACAAAAGCTTAATTGGCATCCAGATGTGTATCGGCATAGTTTCCCCTGTGATCGCTGTTATTGATAGAGACCGCACGTACGCCTCTAATGCAGCGATCAATGAGCTCCCACATGGACTCATTAGACGAGGCTTTTTATTCACATCTATTCTTGTCAGGAGCAGAAACTACAGCGAGGAAGAGGAAGCGTGGAGGTGTTTTTCTACGACCTTTGTCCGACAGAGACGGGAGAAACTGTTGTGATTTCTAACCGGAAACAACATCATCGATTTACACCTCAGACTTTTTCCTTTCAGTGAAAAATCTTCATCCGTCCTCCACGGTGAAATCAAAGCTCACAGTTTTCGTTGTTTCGACATGTGGTCGCATTTTTAAGGAGCTGCTCATCAGGCTGTGATGATTCAGCCGTTGTTTCACCATAACTCTTTTAGGTTTTAGGATCAGGGCTGAATGATTTTGGAAAATAATCTAATTGCAATTTTCTTTTTCCTCGATATTGCGTCATGATACTAATCTGTGTACGGATGGTGAGATGTAATCAGCGCCCCAAACACTGAAGTCTGGACTCTTTTTTTCCATTGTTTTCCAGACGTGGTTTGAAGTTGAAGCGTTAGTCGCTGGAGTTTTTGCCATTCAACTATCGTACATCGCTTTGTTACGTTTTTTTTAAGTGTGAATAAAGGTTCGTGGTGTTACCTCCTTTGGTACTAAACTTTCTGCAGTGACCGCTTCTGCAGCTGAATTAGGCCAAAGTGAGACAGTGTGCAGCGTTGACCTCTCTCTCTGCCTGCTCTGCTTTGCTCCGCTCACTCACAACTCACATGACCAGTCAAAATCGCAAATGCAATTAATCCTTCAGCCCTATTTAGGATTCTTTGATTTCAAACTCTGCAGAAAAACTGACGGACATTTGATTTTTGCGTGTTTTAGCTCCTCAGCTACCCAACGTGAAGACTGAGCCCCATCCTGTAAGATCAGATCCACGTACATCCGGATCTCCAAAACCATGAGAGGAGCGTTTGACGGCGTTTATCAAGTTACAGCGGAGAGGAAGAACTTCCTTTAACAGGCAGAAACCTCGAGCAGAACCGGACTGATGTTAGACAGTCTTCTGCTGAGACTGAGCTGGGTTAACCCCAATTATCACCGCATCTGGAACGGCTCAGATTGACGGCAATTTTGTCTCTCTAAAGACAGACACATAGACATATAAGCAGTAGATTGTGTCCTTCCAGAGGAGGAAATCTACTTCTAGACTTCTAGAATCAGCATCTCCTCATCCATGGTGTCATCGGGGTGAAATGACGTCTAAAGACCTTTCACTTGTTCGTCGTTCATGTTTTATTTTGAAAAGAAGCCGGATGTTTTATTTTGTGTCTGTGCCCGACTTCCTTTCCAGCACGGGTTAATCTGTGCTGAATTTATCCGCCATGCTCCGGCGTCCAGAAAAAATAGAACTCTTGTGATCAGCTGAGGAGTCCGACGGAAATTGACACGTTAACTTGAATGGTTACGATCAACTACGATCGGAGGATACGACCTTTCATAGCCCCCAGAAATTGGGGGTTAAAGTCCGTATTTATGGTCCTGGTTGTGTTCACTGTCTCTCACTGTAGTGAAGCTGCTTTCTGCTGAAGTGATTAGAAATATAAAAATATATACACGCACAGTCGACGGTCAGACCGAGGGCGAATCGTCTCCTCATCAGCGTCTCACTCAGTCACCACAGCGGGCGGCGCCGCTTCTTTGCTGTCGCCATGATTGTCAGTTTGTTTCCTCCACGTCTGTAAAATATGTTTTATTTCTTTTCTCTTTGGGTCTGAAACAGAGCGAACCCACGCAGCCCCATGAATATATTCTATTTGATATCGTCGGTCCGCTTGATCTCCATCCTCTGCCCGCTCTCCTGTGAATACGTTATAAAGACACAAAGGAAAGTCACTTTATTTTGGCGGGGAAAAGAAAACACAGGGTTGGATGGTGAGGATTATCAAACTCTACTTTTCATAAGTAGTTTTGGTGGAAAAGTTAAAGTAGGGCACAGTTTTATCGTTTTGTCCTGAGGCTGCGAGCTCGAACGGCGGTTAGAGGAGTTATCGAGGCGACTCAATAAACTGCACAGAAACACGCCGCCGCTTCTACTGCCGCTGCTGCTGCTGCTGCTGCTGCGTTCTCACTGCCGTTTGTACACCGCCAACTCCCACAGGAGCAGAAGTCGTCTTTGATCACATGATCAGCAGGGAGTGTATAATGTGTCTGTATGTGGAGTAAGAAACAGATCACACAGACGGAGATACAGTGTGTTTTTTTCACGTTCCTGCCCACAGCTGCTCAGTAATCCGATCAAAGCGAGCGTGACCGAGGATGTTTTCACGCTGATACAGTCGCTCAGAGGGACAGGGAGCGCCGCCGACACGTGTTCATACAGTAAAGACTTTATTTCTTATTTTAGATGTCTTGATATGTTTCCAATCCATCCTGTAAAAATGAGGTTTCATGAGCCGACCTCGGGTGTTCCTCCGAGCCACAGACGGATTAACGTGAAGTTGTAGGATTTTACAAACAACCCAGTTTTTGACACAGAAACCAAAGAGCTGGGACCTCAACACAGACCTGGTTTTCCTCAAACTGAGGGGGTACATCCTTTAGTGAGAGCGCTCTGTGAGAGACCGCAGGTTTGAGGATTTTTTCACCTTTAGCACGAAAGAGTTTAGAGGAAACTGTAGGACAGAAATGAGGCTGTGATCCCTGGGCGATACGGGAAAAAGTTTATCATGATATATTTTTTCATATCAGTCGATATCGATCAATATCACAATATCAAAAATGAAATTATTGGTCGCATGTCTTTTCCAACACAATAATCTCCTGCATCTGTGAGGTCTTTGAGTCCCTTCGGCGTTGCTCTAGAGAAAGCCGACTGAATGCTCATCTGTTTCGGCTCCTCGCTCCTCTCGGAGTTTATAACCTTTTGCGTTGCGCGTGCTCTGCGGCGTGGCGCTGCTTCAGGTGGTGAAAAAGATTTGAGGTATTCCCCGACTTTGTGAGAACATGTACTCGACATAATTTACAGTCCACATTACTCTGCTTCATGTCCGACCTCCAAAAACCAAAATACCTCCACACCACCGACGTTTTCCTAACGCCAGTGTTGTCGTTGACATTGATGTGGTCATCTGTTGAGCCTTCATGGTCATTTCTGTCGGGGGTAGCACTCATTTTCTTTGTTTCTCACCAACAGTGCTGTCGGCTTCACCTGTTAAAGTGCTATGGTTGGGCGTAGCTGCTGTGTGATAGGACGCAGTTGGTTGATACTTTCATTGGCTATTCGTATAGTCTACCTAAACATGGCAGAATGATGACTATTGAAAAAGCATATTGACCATGTTTCATACTGATATTGATTAATTAATTTTCTATATACGTCGTTATCGTTTTATCGCCCAGCCCTACTCTGAAGTGGAAATCACCGCATGGTATTACATCACCTCAAAAATCCAGTGTGTGTGATGAGGTGACAGTCTGACACGACTCAGCGTGATGTGGTTTGATGTAACGCTCCGTGACGTTTGGCGGTGAGATGTTTAAAAGATGTCGTACCAGTCTGCTGAGTCAGCTGATATCTGAAGTATCCTGGTGCAGAAACTGAGGAGCCAATCAGGATGAATTACCACGATGGTCATGAGGAGGAGTCTCTGTGTGGGCGGACGGAGAAGCAATAAAGAAACTTCTCCTTTTTCTCAGACTTTAACTTCTGAGTGAATCAAGTCCAGGATTGATGATGTCATTTGGCGTAATTTGACTTCGCCGTCGGACAAGATCTGAAAAACGATTCATCAGGAAGTAATGAAAGTCAGACTGACCTGAAAACATGTTTCTGTTTCTGTCTTCATACCAGCCCAGAGATGAATATTCAGGTTCATCTTCATGATTCGCCAATAATCCGGTCGCCATGGTAATGACTCTGCAGCAGCAGCAGCAGCAGGGTGGCGATTTATCTTTCTGGCAATGTCGTTTAATTTAACCACTCGTTTAGTCGGGGGAGGGGCTTCCTGAACGCAATCCATCAGCGTTACAGTTCTGATGACAGCGTGACGTGATTTCTCATCAATATCATACATGAGAAGTGCTGAGCCGTTAAAACGCAGAAACCAGAGCGGACGGGGGAGAGAAGAGGGGAGGACAGAGGGAGGAGGAGGAGGAGGAGGAGGAGGAGGAGGAGGAGCGCCGTCTCTATCTTCCTCTCAGGCCCGGTGTTGATTTCAGAAGTCAGCGCCATCAAATCCTTCAAAGCGTCTGTTTCTAAAATAACCACGAGTTTCTTTCATGGCTGCGTCGCTCTGATTTAGAACAAACGTCAGTCTGTGGATCCAGATTCTCTCCGATCGTTCCTCCGCTGAAGAGGAAGAATAAAAACGTTCTTCATGTGGGATAACTCGGACACTTTCATCCTCTCATAACTCTCTGTCACTTCTCTGCTCAGGGGAAACACTTTAACCTCGAAGACGTTCAGTCGTGTCAGTATTTTTGTTTTCACTGAGGACAGGATACGTTTATTTATAAAACAGAGAGAGAGAGAGTCGTGACAGAGGTCGGGGGAACACGCCGGGGGACGACGTTTAAACGTTACAGAACAAAGTCACAGTGAAGAGAAACACAGAGGTGAAGGAGGAGTGAGGAGAGGTACAGTCGACAGTGATGTAAAATAATAACTGTAGGTGTTCAGTCAGACTGTCGGAGCATGAATCTGATTATTTTAGATGCTGATAGTTTTGCTTTCATCAATGAAAATTATGACGAAACATCGTCGTCAACAAACCTTTACCACATGACAAAACGAGACGAAATGTAAATGGTAGTCTTGTGACGATAACTACAACTAAATATAAAATGCAATATTGTCAACGACTAAATCTGGTTCACAAAATAAAAACTGCTAAAATGTCTCCTCATTTTCATTGACTTAACCGAGACGAGACGAAATTGTTCAGTCGCGTTGTTTTTGTTTTCTGTTTCCTCGGCTGTGTGTCGCCCTGCTCAGACACAGGCGACGTCACGTCCTCAATCCCCTAACTCACGGTATTTTTAGACGCGGTGGGCAAAGACGTTTCTGGGTGAGTTAGAGTCATGGTCGGGTTGACTGGGAGAAAAAGAAGAAATTATATCTGGACACTTCAAGTACAAACAAAACGGAGTGTGTCGTGGAAAAAGAAAAAGGGAGAAATGCGGCTGGAAAATAGCGGGAAAAACAGACATCTGCAGGTCTCCCATGCTGAACTCGAGGTAAGTAAAATAAGTTATCATTGACTAAAACTAGACGAAAATGTCATCAGAAAGTGACTTAAACTGATAAAAACTAAAATGACAGTTTGACCTTCTGCAGACCTTTTGCCGCATTCGCCGTGACTTTGTCAAACTGAAACAAACTAAAGAGTTGAAGTTACTGAAAGGACAGTTTAAACCTGACATGGAAGTTATTTAAAGTACTTTTTAGATTTTTCTCTTTAACTTTAAGGTTTCAGAAAAATTCCCTCATGAATATTTTTAATTCTCGATCTTTCAAACTTGGAGGATGAAATCAGCTGCAGAAACTCTCCTCCTGTTTTCTTCTGCTGAGGAACTCTGAAACCATCAAACTGTCTTCTTCATTCTTGACAGCTTGTCTGCCTCCATATGGTCCAAAAACTGACTCCACAATAAGACCGAACTGCAGAACTGCTAATGATCCGAGCTGAGGAGGAGCAAAAACAACAATCTGTTCCTCTGTTCGTATAATGTACCAGCTGGAGGAGGAGGAGGAGGAGGAAGAGGAGGAAGATAAGGAGGAGGAGAGGGAGGAGGAGGAGAAAGAGGAGAGGAAGGAGGAGGTCTGAGAGCTCAGATGGTCTCAGTGAGATGGTTTGGAAGAGCATAAGGAGGTAATATCATTTTTTTTCTTTTTTTCTCTTCTTTTTCTTTTTTGTCTTTTTCTTTTCTTTTCTTCTTTTTCTTATTCCTCTTTTTCTGCTTTTATTTTTTCTTTTTCTTTTTTCATCTTTTTATTTTTCAACTTTTTAGACTTTTTCTTCTTTTTTTTCTTCTTTTCTTTTTTCTTTTTCAACTTTTTTCTTTTTTCTTCTTTTTTTTCTTTTTCTTGTTTTTCTTCTATTTCTTTTTTCTTCTTTTTTCAACTTTTTCTTTTACTTTTTCATCTTGTTTTCATTTTCTTCTTTTTTTCCTGTTTTTTTCGTCTTTTTCTTTTTTGTCTTTTTTTTCTTTTTCGTCTTTTTCTCCTCGTTTCTTACCCTTTTCTTTTTTTTTTCTTTCTTCTGCTGTTTCTCTTTCTTCTTGGTGTTTCTTCTGCCTTTTTTTCTTCTTTTGTTCCCTCTTCTGCTGTTCCTTCTTCTTCATCATCTTCATGATGACATCTCTGGTTTCTCTCAGTCCTGACACCTCCTGATGAATAAGTCAGAAACCCTCTGGTATCAGAGATGTCAGTCTCTCATCTCTTTCTACAGATCTGTCCTGACAGGTTCTCAGGTCCAGTTGATAACGGGGGGATGGGTACGTTTTTATCATACTTGTCACAAATATCACCGCCCTGACCTCTGAAATATTAAAACCTGTTGATTAACCCTTCATAATTACTCTGGAAATTAAATTAAAGTTGTCTCGATCCTGTCGTCTGATCAGATTCTCCATTTTTTAAACATTTTCATGATCCTGATTTTCCTCTAAAGTGAGTCTCTGCTCTACACATCAGCTGAAGAATAAATCCAACCTCTGAAAGAGAGTCGGACAATATCTATGCAAATGAGAAAGATTGGATTAGCTCTGAGTGAAAACATGTCTAAACTACGCCCACCTAAAGAGGTGAAACCTGATCATAATCTTCACGTACATTTATCAGAGCAGAATAAATCAGACTCTCAGAAAAGAGAGCGCTTTGACTCACAGACATTTGAACGTTTAAAAGCTCGACCTTGAATATCTGAAATAATAAAACACTTTCCTGCATTAAAGCTTCAGTTTATCACCTTTAATTTAACCTCATATTCTGCAGAGTGAACTCTACACCGCCTCGTTTATCTCCTCATTTCAGGCTTTTATCCACTTTCGTCACTTCGGTCAATCAATACAGAGTTTCTTCTGAGCACGTCTTGATTTAATCTTGGAGCGCATCGTTTCTGCGAGTCAGATCCAGACCGGAGGAACCGGGTCAACGTTCAGACTTGAAGACAAAGGTCAGGACAGGAAACGGTAAAATAAGATGTAACCCCGGCGTCGGATCAAAATCGTCTCTCCACTCCGCCATCCACTCGTCTGTGAAGGTGGTTATCACCAATAACGCGCTGCCGTGTGTTGACAACTGACAAGATGTTCTGTGAATGGGAATGAAAAGGCCGACTGATCCGCAGTAATAACCACGGCGGCTGCAGATTGATGGCGCTGATATCAGTGTGTCCTGGAGTGGAAAAGCAAATTATGGCTGTGGGCACGCCGGGGTGAAAACGGCGAATCTGCACCTGCTTCTGAGAGAGATGTATGAAGACGATGAAGACGATGATGATGATGAGGATGATACTCCTGCAGATCGGCGTGTTTGTATTCCTCTTACCAACTTCGTCTTCTCTGTGATTCACAGCAGGGTTCCTCCTCCTGAACAGGCCTGTTGCATTAATGTGACTCATATTTAGGAGTGAAGTGATTGGACCGTCACTTTCCCGCTGATGGTTTCAGTGTAAATAACGCAGACGGAGAAAATCGTCTCAGTTGATAATCTGAACTACAGGGTGCTCAAAGATCTCCTTCGCCGCTGGAAAACAAAATCAGACTTTGATCTGCTCTGAGGAGGAGCGAAACATCACAACAACACAACATCACAACATCACAACATCACAACAACACAACATCACAACAACACAACAACACAACATCACAACACGCCGCTAGATATGGGACAAAAAAATCCATAAGAAAGAGGAACGGATAATTCAGGGTTTGAGGTGTTTTTTCTTCTCTGTTTTTAAGTTTGTAGTTTGTTTTATTCAAACATCCCAACATGACTTCACTTCTACCTGCTGGTTTTAGCTGCTGTATTAATGAGTGATGTTTCTCCTAAGGGTTCTGGGTCCAAACATCTCTGCAGATCCGGATCAGCTTGTTAGCAAATATCCAACGAGTCCAGATGAGCGGCAGGCGGATCTCTAATATGAGTCCGGTCCTGTTCAAGGTTTCTGACTGTTAAAAGGAAGTTTTTCATGTTAGATAAGAGGTCAAATCTGTCCCATCTCAAGGTTTGGTCTTGACATCGTGTGATGTCATCAGTAGGCGCCGGGCCCTGGCAACCCGAACATATCGGCCAAATCCCAAACCGACCCCGACTCACTACCGAGGGTCACTCGTAATGAAGTTACACTCGCAGCTGTGGAGTGCGCCTCAATTGAAATGGGAGGGTCTAAATAAGACGGGCAGGTATGGGACGCCCTCCTCACTCCACCGGAAAACGGAAAAATTCATCGCCATAACAACACAAAGACGCGTCTTGTGCATGGCAGCGTTTATTTTCTTAGTAAATGGACATCATGTTCATGAGCCGCTCCGTCTGCCTCGTTTCTTCATCATAAATCCAGCGTTCATCACAGAGACAGGAGCTGAATTAAACTTCTGATTGTCTGTGATTCACTCGTCTTTAAACCGTTTTAATATCTGACATGTTCCTGACCAATCAAATCAAACCTCAGCACAGAGGAAGATTTACGACTTCCGTTCGATCTTTCCAAACCACGGCTTTTGTGATTTTTTTCGTCAGTAAGACAAAGTTGGACACAGACGGAACTTATACTTGTATATTATTTCCTCCAGCTGAGCGTCGCCACAGCGGCTCTCGGCGACTCTCCCGCCACAACACCACTGCGCAGCGCTGGTTTCAGGAAATAAAGAAGTTGTCCGTAGTTTATACAGTCTTTGGTAACATCCCTTTAAACCACGGAGCAACGATGAAATGACTTTATTACATCTGAAAAACATGTCCGCTGATTCAGTTTGACACGACTTACCGTCTCTGTTTCCGTAAAGGAAGTAATAACGAAGACGCCGCCTCTGGACGTTCTTCTTCCCGACAAACAGCCATCAGCAGATCTCCTCTTCGCACGTGCTCAGTTATGACAAGCAATAACACGTAAACTGAATTATTTCTGCCTCCGTTTTGCTGCAAACGCCGTGATTTTCCTCTTTGAAAACTCAGACAAATAGCTTCATCCCGGCGGAGAGTACGGCGTTCCTCTCCGTAATCACAATGAGATCACTCGGCTCATTTCCATATGTTATGGTAGAGGGGCCGTGGGTTTCAAATCACTCCACCCGCTGCTCGTCTCCCACTCAGACACAGCCTCAGATACACATTTACGACAATTTAACACTGGCGGAGATTACTTTTCCTCAAACTACAGGAGGGTTTGATCCGTCAAGCATGCACCATTTCTCGGCCAGCCATTGTTGAGACTCCCAGGAGTCATCTATTATACACAATCTGAGCTCTGCAATGAGATATTTCACAAACCAGATTACACTGGAGTTCCTCTGTGGATGTATTATAAGACTGCCTAATGTAGAAAGACCTCAACAGCAAGCAGCCATTAAAATTTTAATTAGTGCTGTTCTTGTTTACAAGATTTATGCAGATCAATTACACACTGTAGGTGTTCGGAGGCTGTGCTCATAAAAGCGGAGAGTGATTCTGTTACACACTCCTGAAGAACGAGCCGAACAGGAAACACAATACTCTCAAACTTAACGGCTGAAAGAGGGAAATTACAGGCAGCGGGTTTTCAAGGATTCGTTTTTTTATGTACCATTTAAAAGTCAGTGCATCATTTCTCGTTTCAATTATGAGTAAAAACAGTAAAAAAGTAAAAGTCTGTGAACTCAGGAAACAACATTTATTCAGAAGACATGAAATAAATATAATTTTGGTGTTTTTATTAAATGATTAGTAAGGATGTAGGTGAACCAGCCTCTGTGGATGCCGGTCAGCTGGACCTTCACTTAAATTACAGTATGTTACCGTAATTTAGCTAATTTTGCGAGACTAATGTTTCTGCGTTGAGCCTGTAAAAACTGCAAAAACAAACCATCTTTCTGATGGTAAAGTGCTGTAAATTTGGAGTCAAGTGTACTCTTAGACCAAAATAAAATAACCGAGCATGAGGGTTTAAGTTCAACGCCCTGTGAGAGACTGTGTGAGCAAATACTTCCACGAGTTATATCTGAAAAATCTTGTTACAAAAGACACGGGGACAAAAACGAACACTGAGGCATTAAAAACAAACACGACTCTGTAGTGGAAGTTTCCGCATTGGTCCCAAAACGAATGTCTTTGGAAATGGTTTTTCCCTTTGTCCTCAAACGCAGCATTAAAAAAGAAGTTCCATGTTTAGACAGTCGAAACCCTGATGGTCACCGGTAGGGCTGGGCGATAAAACGATAACGATATATATCCAAAAGTAGTTTCCCTCAATATCAGTAGTATTGTTGTTTTAGTAGACTATACTAATAGCCGATGAAAAGGGGAGTTACTCTGGGTCTGAACCAATCATGTTCTGAATTAGAACCAAGTATCAACCAACTGCATTCTATCACACAGCAGCTCCACCCAACCATAGCACTTTAACAGGTGAAGCCGACAGCACTGTTGGTGAGAAACAAAGAAAATGAGTGCTACCCCCGACAGAAATGACCATGAAGGCTCAACAGATGACCACATCAATGTCAACCACAACACTGGCGTTAGGAAAACGTCGGTGGTGTGGAGGTATTTTGGTTTTTGGAGGTCGGACATGAAGCAGAGTAATGTGGACTGTAAATTATGTCGAGTTCATGTTCTCACAAAGTCGGGGAATACCTCAAATCTTTTTCACCACCTGAAGCAGCGCCTCTCTTTTGATTCACCTTCCGTAAAAACATGTTTTTATCACAAACAGACGTCTATGAAGACACACGGTCCGTATAAAAACATCTGTCCACTCGATTTTTCCAGGACTAATTGGCGTCTGATTTGTATCCGAGCAGCCAGAGGTGTTAGCAGGCAGCAGATGTGGACTGGGATTCACTCAGCACTCGCTCTAATCCCTGAAATCTGTGAGACGACCTTTTTCACCACTTTCAAAGTCAGAGACTGAAAACTTTCATCTATAATCTTTTCCTACAGTTCAGCGTTCGTCAGCGGACTCCTTTTATATCACCGCGGACTCATCTTTAACTCTCCAGGTAAACTTGTGTCATATTCAACCATCAAGTCACATCTTTTGGTCTAAACTGATCATGCAACAAGATTTTAACCACGAGACACTGTCTGTCTTTAAAAATGGTCGTATTTTTTGGAGAAGAAAGTTGGGGAAGACTTTTGGGTGGGAAACAGTAAATTTAATTGTAGAAACAGGAAGTTTCAATAATATTGAAATGATCAAAATCCATTTTTATGACCATTTCACAAATCCATTTCTCCTCCATTTCCTGATAGAGTTTGTGTTTAAATATTTTTACCTGAGTTCGGTGAGAGGACAGCGTACGACTGTTTATTTCTCCAGATAGATGGTTGGAATCTCCCACCATCTGCTCACACTCTCTCTCTCTCTTCTCACGGTAAAAACACACACTGCTGTTTTTGGACGCGCTGACTCGTGTAACTCCGCCAAAACTCTCAAACTGAGCCAAGAAAGGTATTTTAAAAATCTTCGTCATTATCTCAGAGTGCTATTTTAGATTTATCTCATTATTACCTGTGTTAGCGTGTGAGTTTGGACTGTTTTTTTGTCGATCTGTCAGCTCAGTTTAATCCCAGAAAGGAAGAATTTAGAAACCACAGACAGGACCACATGGTGTTTTGGGAGATCCTGACAGTCGACCACAGAGGGAACAACAAAAACCTCCATGTTTTTTCTGCTTTTCCTCCAGTTAGAAACATTTTTATACAATCTGAAAAAACCCCCCACAAAGGCTCTAATGAACCAAATAAAACCCAGAACACAAACCAAGATCCTCAAACCGGTCTCATGTATAATGAAAGTTTTTCAGCCTGTATTGAGAGATCATTAAGTCTAATGCTCTTTTACATCAAACTGATTTCTGGCTCCTGTTCTGTAAAACTGTTATTGCAGCAGCAGATAAGGTGTTTTTAACAGCATTATGAGACGCCATCAGACCTGCAGCTTTGAAACCAGATTATCCCCCAGAATGCCGTTCTGTGTGAGTCATTATGAGGTTATAGGGACACAGAAAAAGCAACGTTAAGGTTTGCAGTATATAGGAGTGATGGTGTATAATCTGAGCGCTGCTGTACAGACAGGTTATCAGATTAAGATCATCGTCACCGTGTGAACGCAGCAGCTTCAGAAAATAAGAAAAAACACTTTTACCTCTCGACTGAAAGTTCATATTTAGTATTTTGTGAGGCTGTTTCAGTTTTTTTAATTCATGTGGGAGAAGAAGGCAGCGTTTATAAACTCCAGAAAGCTCTCCATTGATGTTTTGTCAGATATTTTGTTTATTCCCACAGAGAGACAGATTTCCCCTCATGAACGCTCAACTCTCTGTTTGAGCTGCAGAAATAAATCCTGATTTCTCAGAATTACCTCTGAAGTATTTGGATCATAACTGTCAGGAAACAAGGAGACCTTCATTCTTACCAACGTTAAAGTGACGTTGATATCCCTGAACTCCCCTCCTGCTGATTTATTCAGACTTATTAGACGCTCCCTCAGTTTTCTTGGATTCATTGAGCTTTATGATCCTCCCTCCATTTGTTTTCGAGCTTTAAGAAGATCTCTTAGTCAAATAAATCCAACAGATGAGAACTTTGTCCAACAGTAAATCTGAGACTAATGCGAGGCTTCAGTCGACTGAGTTAATCAGATCAAGTTATTACTTTCATTTAAGGAGGAAATCCTTCCTGGGATTCACACAGACGCTCTGAAAATTCACTGTAAACTGTTGAAACACGAAAACTTTTCATTTTATTTGACGTCGGTCTGATCTGGAGGATGAGGAGGTCAAACCTGCACAAGGATCTTAGCGCTAAAGATTGGGTCTCCACCTCCTCTCAGGTGTTTTTTTTTTCTTATTTTTGTTTATTTAAGATCAAAGATAGTCGTCTGTGACGCCCTACAGCCCACCAAAAAAAACAACAATAAGAACTCTATTTCCGTGCCCCGCCGGCGGCTTGGCGCAGGTGCGGCGTAAGTCAGGTCCACCGCGCCGACAAGGCAGACCCAAGCACGTTTTGGTATTTTGGTGAGCCGAGACCTGTTTTCGCCAATCACATCGGCTCCTCTCCTCACCTTTCAATCCGCCGCCAGCGAGGCGTATTATAATTTTCGTGAAGTAGTCGAAGAGATCAAGAGACTGAAGATTGGTTGTTGTTGATTATTTATTGCACTGAAATGTGTCCGACACTGTGGAAACCTGCTGGTGAGGTATGCGCACTACGCCGCCGGTCTATCAAAATACCACGAGACCAGATGCGCTCCACCTGCGCTGAAAGGTTTGAATCGCACTTTTCTATCACTTTTCACGCCGCTGGGGAACACGAAAATGTCACTGCACCAGTTGATTCTGTCGACACCTCCCCCTACCGCGCCACCACGCCCAGCTTGGCGCACCTCGGAGCGCCTCAGTCTATGAAATGACAAACTGGCTGTGCACCGGGCTCCACCAGACAAACATACCACTGTGCGGGGTGCGCCATTGTCCGCCACGCCACCAGCGGGCACGAAAATAGAGCCTTAAGTCTGATTAGACCAGACTAAACTAGACCTCATCTAGAGGGTCAGAGTTGAGTTTATAAATGAAGGCCATCTTTGGGTTTTTTAACTGCGTCTTCATCGCTCTGAGTTCGTCCATGTTTGTATATTCGTGAACCTCTCACTCTCTGGTGTAGACGATTATATAATAAATAATTCCTGTTAGTACTTAAAGACAGAATACCTTTAATATACTTTGTTTTGTAACGGTCTCAGATTTTGCATAACCGTATTTCTATATCCTTTTCTGCTGTAAGTGGACTCCTCATGAAAAGGCTCGCCCACTTTCACACGGCGGCTGATGTTGAATGAAATCCAGTTCACTGAAAATCACATTTTCAAGGACAACATTTCTGCCTACTTCATTTTTGAAGATGAAATTTGGTACCTGTACTTTTTCATACCAACTTTTCCACTTCTTTTCACCGTATTTAACCGTCGTCTTTCAATTTGCCTGTTTGAAATTCGCTCCACGTCGAGTCTGAAAGCACATTAAGAGCTTTACTTTTACTGCAGTCCTCTATGATACTTTAATTTCTGAATATTAACCACAAAGCTTTTTCTGAAAATGACTCCGAACCCTTTTTAAAGCCTTAAAACCTTCACATGTCCAGAATTGAATCTGCCCTCTGGACGAGCCAATAAAAGCTTCTTATTCAGACTCTGGCATTGATCGTGTTTCTACCTGTGAGGGCCTGAAGATTAAAGCAATCATCCTCCCAAATCTCCCAAAGCAGAAACCCTTTCATTAATGTGACGGCTCGCTTTTTTCTACACTTTTCTCCTTTTGACTTTCTGCTTTTTAAACCTTTGCCAAAAAAAAAAACCTTTTTTTAATCCAGTGAACAAACTTCAGTGCAGCTTTCTGTGAAAAGACTGGGATTGTAAATTAGAGGTGTTGTAGTCAGGATTCTGTTAAAGAAGCATCTTTTTATTTTGTGGTTTATTTACAAAAAATCTTTGAATATCAGTCAATAGTTATTAGTTATTGATGATATTTGGTAATATAACGATATCTCTGTGTTCTCTTATGTCTGTGTCGTCAACATTTGAACATTTTTGAGCGGTCCGCTTTAAGGCGGCACAGTGGTGTAGTGGTTAGCACGGGTAATCTGTTTCCTCCCACATCCCAAGAACATGCATAAGTGGGGTTAGGTTAATTGGCCACTTTCAAATTGCCCGCAGGTGTGAATGAGAGCGTGGATGGTTGTTCGTCTCTATATGTCAGCCCTGCGATGAACTGGCAACTTGTCCAGGGTGGGATAGGCTCCAGCCCCCCGTGACCCCAGGAACAGGAATAAGCGGTAGAAAATGGATGGATGGAGCGGCCTGCTCTTTCTGACTGTAAACAAAGCTGTTCTCCACCTCCCCGACCTGATTGGTTGTGAGGCAGACGCTGCTCCCATGTGTTGTGAGGCATGCTACATGTCCTCGAATATTGCTCACGAGCCCAAACAAAGTTAGCGTGCTACAATATCGGACAGTAGAAACCAACCAGAAAGTTCGGAAAATTGTCTGAATCCTCCTTTGGCCACGACTGCCGACACAAGCAAGAAAACAAAGTAAATACTGGAGACTCTGGAGGAATAACAGGCGCTTAAAACGGAGGTAGACCGGACAAGAGCTAAAAAGCCGGGTCAACATAAACGATGGGGGACGCTTGGGGATCTTGGTGACCCTGTAACCTTTCTGCTGGACAGGTAAACCGCTTTAACAAAGTAAGACAAGTGTCTGTAACAGAAGTGTTTCTTGTCAAACGGACCTGCTGTAGCGTGTTGTAGCGCCATCGCTAAACTGTCCTCCCTCGGGTCCTGGACTATGTCACTTTATCCTCGTTGTAGAAGTCCTGCAAACATTGTGTTTGCTGGTAGTCTGTTGGCATCTACAGTAGCACCAATGCTTTTGACTTTCACCTTGACTGGGCCCCATTTGTAATGATCTGAAGTATTGATCTGCATTATATCTGAATTTAACTGGAACGATACGAGCGAGCAGTGAAATAAGGCGCCGAACACTCTGCAGTGATACAGCTGTAATGGTCGGCGTCCGTGTCAGATGAAGCACAAAGGAGGAAATCCCAGATCCTCACTGTGGTTTACAGATCTCTGGATCTCAGTCAGTCTCTACTGTAGGTCAGCCTCGCCCCTCAAAGTCACGGTCCAGCTCGATTATAAAGGCCGGATCTGAGGCGTCCTTTCCTGCCAGAGTGGGTCAACAACACCGTCCACACACTGACAGGCGCACGTCCACGCTGACTGATGGTCTGCTGATAGATTCTGTCAACATGGGGGTCTAAAAGGGAGAGAAAGACATCCTGAGAGCAGAAGAAGAGAGAGCAGACGTATCTGGAGGTCAGGGGGTGGTGTTGTGTGGTGGTGGAGGTTCCTGCTCATGTGTCCTCGGGCGAGGAAGTGAAAGCTGAGCTGACCGTCATTAAAATCAAATAACAAGTCAATACGCTGTAAAACATACCTGATTGTTGGACAGCTGTGTTGAATTCTTCATTCTGGTCGGTCTCCACATAGCAACAGCTCATAGCAACAGCCTGTTATTTCTTGATAGCAAATAGTTGCTATGGATACGGCTCAAATCAGGCACCAGAGGACTAATGCTGTGTTTGAGTTAACTCGGAGGTTAGAAGTCGGAGCTGAAAATGACGTCACACCCGAGTTCCCAGCGTTTCAGTTACCAAGTCAAAAAAAAGCAAAATCGGAGGCTTGAAACAAGATGGCTACTTATACAAAGGCGCTAAAATAACTTTCATAGATAAAGTCATCTTCATTTTCAATTCCGACCTCTGACTTCCGTGTTAACGCCAACACCGCATAACTACAGGAAATATTTCTCATAATAAAGAAAGTGAAAATAAACAGATGATAACTTTGTTGTGGTGTTGTGGACTTTTTTTAAGTTTATAAAATAGATTTAAATTCATGTTGATGTTTTTTTATTACATCCAAAAGCAAACTAAACCATTAGAGACAACACTGATCATATTTGGTACAAATACTATGTCCACAGGGGGGCGCCAAAGATGACACGAACCAAAAGTTCCTCACAGGAGCTTTAACTTATTTTACACAATATAAAGTAAGATTTTTGTGTAAATTGATTAAACTGGGCTTCAAATGAAAAAATAAAACCACAGCAAGATTAAAGAGTCTGTATTAAATAAAATAGATCAGTTTGTATCCTGCTGCTTTAACTTCTGAAGAGGGAAAAAAATCTGGATTCATTATTTCACAGGAATTAAAGAATGAATCATGTAGGATTAGCTTTTGTTTATTCATTAGATGTTAAACATTTAAAAACTAAGATGTTCGGATGGAGTTTTATCTCACTGTGGGATTTCGTCTCCCTGGAGGTCTGGAGGTCTGGAGGTCTGGAGGTCTGGTGTAGCTCTCTGCTCTGATAATGAAGCCTCACCTTAAGAACAGGTGAAGCTCTGAGTGAGTCCCAGCAGACCTGTCGATGATCCGGTGAGAGGATGAAGACATCAGCCTCTCTGAGTGTCAGACTGAACAGCCGCTGACTTTAACCGTCTCCAGGTTTATCATCCTGATCTCTATAGAGACTCTGAGGCAGAGCTGCAGACATGGTTTCTGTTGATCCACAGAAAAGCAAATATCCTTAGAGTCTTAGAGGACGTGTTTACCTAACAGACTGAAGGACAAACACGACGACATCAACCTCACAACACACTTATGAAATGATGGAAAATGTTTGCACGCGTTTGCTGTTACTACATCCAGACAAAACTACACAACTAAAGGATGTTGCAGTGATTTTTATTATCTTTAAATCTATATCAATAACACAATAACATGCAAAGTGACATTCATTTCCAAAAGAACAATCAAATCCTGCTTCATGAGTCCACAGACTAAGCATGCTAACTGAACACGTCACGTCAAGCTAATCTAGCGTAGCTAAGCTAATGTAGCAGCTAAGCAAACTTGTTCTGGTCATTTCAGTGTTTTTGTTTTTCCTTCATTAACTCAGTTTTAAGTTCATAGATGTTTGTCATGAATGAGTTGTTTTTTTATGTGAGAACTGTGTCAGTCTGGCGCCCCCTGTGGACAAAGCAGTTTTTGCTTTCCTTGTCTTCTGCTGACTTTTCAAAGCTAAATGTGAATATTTCATATGGCCACTGTACTTACGCCTGCTTCAGCCGATAAATTCATAGAAGCAGTTGAAAAAAACTGAGGCGTTGAGGGAGATTTACACTCTTCAGTGGAGGTCTGACCTCTTCACTTTCATTTATCAGGGTTGAACTGGAACCAAACCAGTCCACTTCCACATGTTCAGATGACTTTTGTTGAATTTGTCTCTAATTATTTATCTCCTCTTGTTACCGGATCGGTCAGAGGTCACTGTGTGAATAATGAGACTAATTATTGGATCAGAAAAATGTGAAAATTATAATTTAGAGTTTAAAAATGAAGGTTTTCTCAGCTAATACATGTTAAAGTGGTAAAACTCATTTCTTGTGCACCTTGGAGGCTCCCTCTGTAACCCGGTGAAGTGGTGCGCCTGCGCAATTGCTGCGCTCTCCTCGCATTCACAGCCACACATGCTCGACAGTCAGTCAGAGGGACCTGGAGCGGGTTAATGTTCGAAATCATCCGGGAAAGCTCGAGTCCAGAGGAATCTAACTCTCTCATCTCCGTGATTTTGGGTTGAAACAGGAACTTTTTGACGCTTTTGGCCGGAAAAGTTCTCCGTGGATTTACGTTTGAGTGCGTGACACTTCAGACAAACAAACTGAGGAGGATCTCGACGTTTCTGTGGATTACAACCTGGAAAAAACACCGTGAATTCATGCAGCTGTGAGGCGTTTTCAAGCCGATAGAGAGGAGCGACGAGGATCCAGGTAAACCAGGTTTTTACAGATTTACGCACAAACTTCCAGAGAAGCAGAAGATCAAATTTGATCTGATTGTTTGTCGTTTTTGCAGAAGTTTGCACCATGAACCAAACAGCAGGAGCCACAAACGCGTACCGTCGATGCTCCAAAGGTGGAAAGGTAGGAGAGCAGCTGATTTAAGAAGTTCTGATCTGGGGTGAAGAGTCTGGATCTTTGCACAGAGCTTTGGTGCAGATCTTTGGAGATGTTGGAAATATGCAAGCTGTGGAAAAGCGTTTGTGAAGCTTGTTAAAAATGCTTGGAGGTTTATGGAGATGATATTTCTGACTTGTGTACGCACTGTTGGATGAATAATCCACCCAATTCCTACGGATGTGGACAGTTTGTAGACAATGTTGGAAATGTGTGAGAAAATTTCACCTGCAGAGACAGAAGATGAAGAAGGAAGCTGATGCTGAAGCAGTTTGTTTGAGTTCGAGATTTGTGTCTCATTTTCAGGTTTTACTCAGAGGAATGAGAAAAACCGTCTTAGGGATCCACTAATTTGTTCATCCATCACATTTTTATCATGTTAACATAAATATCTCATCGGGCAATGAGAGTGGGCTGTGTTTACAGCATGGGTGGAAAGTTGGATGGCAAAAAAGATGGATGAAAGAAAGGGGATAGATTGAAAGTGAAAAATTCAAGATATGGATATTGGATCAAGGATAGAAGCATGGATGGACAGATATGTGAATTTTACCTGTAGCGACAGAAGATTAAGCAGGAAGTTGCTGCTAAAGGAGGTTGTTTGAGGTCGAGATTCGTCTCATTTTTCACGTTTTTTCTAAGGAGAATGAGAAAAATTCTGGTAAATGTTGTTTTTTCCAAAAGGATGAGACACTTTCAGGCAAGATTTCTCGTCACTTTTTCAATATTGAGCGGAAAATCTGCACAACTTTACAACTTTCTTTCTAAAAATCCTCATCGCCAACTTAAAAAGTCTAAAAATCCACTTTGAGTTTGAAGAAAATCACATAAAACCGTGTTTTCATGAGCCTGTGACCCACATTATACTACTGCTGCTGTAGCTGCTGTAGCTGCTGTGTGATGTGTGGATGTGTGGATGTGTAGTCAACAGGGAGGAGAGGAGAGAGTGATGAGGGAGGAGGAGGAGGAGGAGGAGGAGGAGGAGGGGTGTGAGGCTGACAGTGTGAGAGAGAGAGAGAGAAGGTGGGATGAAAGGGAGGATGGGGGGAGAAAAGCTGGTGAGTGTGGGAGGAAAAAAAGGAGACAGTATGATGGAGTCTATCCAGTCCAACCATTGGAGGAGAAGCTCTGGTATGTGTGTGTGTGTGTGTGTGTGTGTGTGTGTGTGTGTGTGTGTGTGTGTGTGTGTGTGTGTGTGTGTGTGTGTGCGGGGGCTGATCTCATCCCCGACACATCTGGTTCTGTCAACAAACCCGATCAGCAGAGATGAAGTATGAGAGTTTATTCTCCGACATCCTGCTGCTCATATAGATTTTTCAGCTCTAAATATTTAGAGTCGACACGAATCGACGAACTGAGCGCGCTCAGAACCAAAGAAAGAAAGAAAGGTGCTGAGAATCATCATCATCATCATCCGCTAAACGAGTCCTGAGAGGCGTGGACTGTTACAGCGAGTCCATGAAGACGCTCGCTTTAATTGAAACTGGCAGCCTGATGATGAAGTCTGTGAAATAAACAAGTGGGATTTTAGGACATGAACACCTGTGCTGAACGTTTAAAGTACGTTAGAGTCTCATCAGGACTTTAGAGTTTAATGACGGAGCGAGCAGAGGACAAGACTGTGAAGCAGAAGATATCAGTGAGGGGAAAAATGTGAAGATTTCAGCCCCAGATAGAAGGAGGGAGAAAGGATTTAGTTACTGGTACATACAGGTAGGGCTGGGCGATATGGGGAAAAGTTTATCACAATATGTTTTTTTTCATAACAGTCGATATCCATAAATATCACGATATATAAATGAAATTTAACAGTGTTTATTGGTAGCATGTCTTTTCCAAAACAATGATCTCCTGCATCTGTGAGGTCTTTGTGTCTCTTTGACGTTTTGTCGTAAGGCATTGAGAAAGCAGACTGAATGGTCGTCTGTTTCAGCTGCACAGGCGTCCTAATTCAGCACATGATTGGTTCAACTGGAGCAACTCCCCTTTTCAGTCGTATAGTCGACCAAAACATGGCAGAATGACGACTATTGAAAAGGATATTGACCATGTTTAATATAGATATTGAGGGAAATTAATTTTCGATATATATTGTTATTTTTTATCGCCCAGCCCTACATACAGGTCTCAGGTTAGATTAAAAATACAAGTGAAGTTTGATGCAAATGAACAAAATCATGAAGTTTAACCAGCAGAAGACGCTGGAAAACCAGCATGTGAGTGACTCCAGACACGTGACGATGACTGGAGCTCAATATGAGTTTAAAATGATGGACAATAGTGAGAATTAAGAGACTGATTTACACTTAGCTTGGGGAGATATGCTTCAGTTTCAGACGTGCAGCTAGAAGTGATAATAGTTCGCTGAAAACAAAACATAAAAAGTTCAGATTACAGCGAACAGTCCTGGATTAGTGCAGCTAAAGCTAACTGGTCCAACTGGTTAAAACGGACTTTTAGGGTCTGAAATCAAGAGTTGAAGTGTTAAATGATCTGGATCATCTATGTTTTAACCTTCCTTCGATGACCTGCTGATGGTTCAGACAGTAAATATGATGTTGACTGTTGTTGCCGTCAAGGTCTCCTCCTCCTCCTCCTCCTCCTCCTCCTCCTCAGGATGAAGAAACTTCTTCCTTAATAGACCTGGGAGCTGTTTTTAGACCTTCTGTTGACTCGCAGCTGCTGGACTTCATATCTGAGCCGTCCTCTCTGTTTGTTTGTGTTGCTGAGGGTGATATCGCACGCCATCGGTCCCTGTTTTAATATTTGGCGTCTTCTCACTCGCCGCTTGTTCTAATTTTGGGTCCGTTTTATCTCCTCTTAAACATCCACGCTGAACCTCTCTGAACACCCCTCCAGTCTCTGTTTGGTTATCTGTCCCCCGGACACTCTCAGCCTCCAGCAGGATTGTTTTTCTATTCCGACTCTTTTTGGTTTTTGTTATTTTTGCCAATTTTAAGCGCCTGCGTCGTCGGTGCGGCGCCGAGTTTCTCTTTGATGATTCCTCTTCCTCCCTGTGGAGTTTCTATTTCCAGTCCTGATGACAGTCCAACTGCAGAGACTCATCACCGTGGATTAACCATCAGGTCTGCGTGTGTTTCTGCAGGAGGACGGCGGGGGGAGGGGCTCACACGGTCACGGTCATCAGCTCCTGATTGGCTCTGACAGTTTTATAAACACCTGAAATGAGAGGAAGTGGAGGACATGTTTAAAGTTGTTTTTTTGAGGTGTCTGTCAATCCTCTGACTCCACCTCTGCATGTAGATCAGCTGATACCTCCAACTCCATCAACACCGTCCCTCTTATTAGTCCTCTGACAGTCCAGCTCAGCTCTCTGTGAGGCCCGCGGTGGTTATTTTAGGACCTGTTGAGCTCGACTTCAAGACATCATTTCATCTGACCAATCCAACACAAGGAGACGATCCTTTATCTGAAGTTTAACGTTAAAGTACTTCTGGGAAATGTAGGAAGTCATTAGCAGGAGTAGAGATAAGGCAGTGAAGAGGAAAGAGGGAAAAAAACAAACTTTATGACGCTGGTTTAATGATCGGTCTGTGGACACAAAGTTTTTAAAGTAGTGACCAAACAGAGTTTAAGTTAACGCCTCTGAACTTACAGTCACTTTTTATAACTGAGTCTCTGTACTTACATAAACTACTATTTAATAAAACGAAATCCTAAAATTTGTCGCATTTTTAGAGTGAAACAAAGTGTAGGGATTATTTTTCTTGATTGTTTTTCTTTTTTTTTTAATTTAGAACTACAGGTTTAAAATCATCAGCCAACTTTATAATAAAAATACAGAAGAAGAAAATATTTAACAGACTTTTTTCTTCATAATTCTGTTTTTAAAGTCAGAATTTGAGGTTAAAGTCTGAATTCTGAGTGAAAAGTTAAACTTATGACCTAAAACTTAAAAATCAGCGAGAAAAGTTTGAGTTCAGAATAAATCTGTTTATTTATCATCCCATCTATATATATCACATTTCATATTTATGACTCATTTCAATAGTGTCATTTTCATATCTTACTTTTTTCTCTTCAGATGTTCAGTATATTTAGTCTGTATTTATTGTATATATTTAGTATTTCTATCTATCATCTATCTATCTAATCCTTTTTATATATTTTCATTTTTGGGTTTTTTCTCTTCTACAGTGAATCACAAGAATATTGTTAAACTCAGTGCAGTGTTAATGATAATTTCCTGTTTTAGCCCTTATTGATATTAATACTTAATGTTGATATTATATTAAAAAATATATAAAATACTTAAAAATGATATTGATCATCATGAACCTCTGAATCTTATTGATTGAATCACTGTTTTATCATCATCAGACCTGTAACTTTGTTTGTGTGTTCATGTAGATCAACCACTAGAGGGCAGTGTGGTATTACAGTATAAGTATATATGTGGATCTGACTCTGCAGACTGTATTTTATTAGTGTATTTCAAAGTTTAGCCTCTTTTAAGAACTGAATCAATAATTACAGAGGATTTTGCCGGGAGCAGTTTGACTTCTTCTTCTTCTTCCTCCTCATCAGCTGATCACCATCTTCCTCTGAGAACCTTCCCTCTTCTTCTGCCTCTGTTTCATAAATCTTTGTGTATTTTTTTTTACACGCTCCTCCTCCTGAGCTTCACTTATCCCCCCTCACTTCATCCTGGTTCTTGTCTCTCGTCGCAGCGGGCCGGTCTGATTATCCCGGCCCTCGACGACCTCGACGTCTCGCAGACGACGCCGACTAAATCCCAATTAGCTCCCTGAGATTCCCAACGTTTGCAACTTTGCTCATCTCTGCATCTGCAGAGCCGAGAAAATCCGCCAATCCTTCTCATTATACAGTTACATAATGAGAATATTAAAGTTTAATTTGTTGGAGACACAGAGAGAAAAAAGTAAATTGATGCTCCTCGTTATGAATATTTATTAAGAGCTGCCGTCCAAATCGAAATGAATTCTTGAGTGAAAGTGTCGGCTGGAAGAATTGGACTATTGTCTCGTTAAATAACTAAAAAGTTCCCCGAGGTTGTTCTTTGTCTGTTTTATTATTACATAGATTTTTGTGTCTTCTTTAGCAAATCTCTTTTCTCTGTGCAGCCATCGACTGAGCGTCAGAATACAGATCATTACAGCACATATATATATATTTATATTTATATATGAGGAGCTGAGCTGAGAGGAAGCTGGATTGAGGGCGGACTTCTTAATTACAGCAGCTTTGTTGGCCAACAGTGGAGCAAACAGCAGCCCGGACCTGCCAAGTATTGATCCCTGCTCTCATTACACAGCAGGCCCATTGAACGCACGCTTATCACTCCGACTCGCCGCTCTCGCCGCTGCAGTCTATGGAAATGATCATTGATTCGTTTTTTTTGGTCTCTTGTAAAATGGCACGTCGCCTATCTCAATCATCTCTGCTCTTAAAATCTCTGAACTCGCGCTCATTAGCGCCGTAATCTTTTCTCACCCTGATCACTCAGCAGAGCGAACAGAGCCGCTCCATCAGTCAGACTGCAGCCATTACTGCGCCGACCAGAGGAGGCGGAGTCACACACGCTCATGTAGAGGCGTGGGGGTGTTGAATTTATGGATGTCCTGATCAGCAGTTTAGCAACCTAGGAGCCCTAAATGTGATGGATTTGTAGCTGTTTTTATAGGGGTCAGAGTTTCGCTAGGAGTAGGGCTGGGCGATATGGAAAAAGTTTATCACAATATAATTTTTTCATATCAGTCGATATCGATAAATATCACAATATAAAAAATGAAATGAGAACATGTACTCGACAAAATTTACAGTCCACATTACTCTGCTTCATGTCCGACGCAGTTGTTTGATACTAGGTTCTAATTCAGAACATGATTGGTTCAGAAAAAGTATATTGATCATGTTTTATATCAATATCAAAGGGAATTTTTGATATATAAATCGTTATCGTTTTATCTCCCAGCCCTAGCTAGGAGGCTTAAGCACAGTGAACCACATGCTCCACGGTGAGAGGAACTGAAAGTACTTTCTAAAAATTGGGGGCGTGGCTTATTGCACCAGTTAGGCTCCACCCACTCGTTGTAGAGACACATGTTTGGAGTCTCTATAAGTAATTTCAGCCCTTTGAAAACCTACTTCCTGTTTGATGGTGAATACAGCGCCACCATGGCAACAGTGGAGTAGGAGGAAAGTCTGTTGTGTTGGAGTGTTGAGGAGATCCTGTGAACCAGATGGGAAAGATCTGAGAGTGTGATGTGAAGGCAGTAACTTACTGTTACCAGTAGATGGCACTGTGATGAGGACATTTGTGTTCAGATGGAGACCCCTCATAAACACGGGGACTGTTGTGCAGATACGCTGATGTAAGGCGGAGCTACACCACTTAGAAAGTTTGTGGTTACGCATTATTCACCACCCCGCTCTGACCACGCCCTCAGACAGAAAACCAGATTTTGACACACATGAAGATCCGTATCTGAAGGATATCTTGAGTATCTTGAGATTTAGCTCTTAAAGTAATAGCATGATATTTCCCTCCACCACCAGGAGGCGCTGTAGCTGGGATGCTGAATTTGTTCAGGTCTTGACCCCCATTATGAATAGTGGGTTTGGCCTTTAGAACCATTGAGACTCGTCTTATTTTAAGTTAGGATAACGCTTGCTTAATTGGTTGTCATGGAAACCAGTGTGGATTTTATGCGGCGTTCAAGTTACCTCGGAGGTCAGATGTCGGAGCTGAAAATGACGTCAAACCCGAGTTCCCAGCGTTTCAGATACGAAGTTGGAAAAAAGTAAAATCTGAAACAAGATGGCGACATCTATGACGGTTATTTTAGCACTTGCCTTATATTCGGACAAGGCAGCGCTAAATATAACTTTCGTAGATGTAGCCATCTTGTTTCCACCTCTAATTTCGCTTTTTTCTGACTTAGTAACTGAAACTGATTTCCGAGGTCACTCGAACACCGCATTAGTGTCCGCTGATTTTGGTGAAATTCAGGGGATGAATCTAAAAACCCGACCTCAGGTCCTGGAGGTTTACTTCCTGCATCTACCTGCTGCAGGTTTTAGAGATCTGCGTGTCGTCTCTGCGGGAACGAGAGCGTCTCCTCGACTCTGAGTGTGAAAACAACAAACCCACCTCCTCACACCTCCGTCTGTATTTGCATGGAAACTTGTTTAGAGAGAACACAATGAGATTACATTCAGAGCCATGTCTGAGAGGGCTCCCCCTGAGGAATGAATAATGCAGCGCACACACACACACACACACACACACACACACACACACACACACACACACACACACACACACACACACACACAGAGTAGATGTTTTCCTGTTTTTTTTACTCGTGTTTATTTAGTTAAATGTGTTACAGAGTTAATTCTGCTGGAGCGCCGTTCCTGTTTGTAATAACCTGCTGGTTTGTGGAGTGAATCATGAGACGCTGCCGCCGCGCTCCCTCAGAGGATGAGCTGTGGAACAGTATGTTAACACCACACACACACACACAGGTGTGTTGATTGACACCTTCGGGAGCGTAATAGTCGGAGTCACGGCGACCTCTCTGGACCTCTGAGCGAGCGGTCGGCTCGGCGAATCGCCCGGGTCATGACAGCCCATCTGGTTGTGTCTCACATGAAGTCAACAAGGTCCTGAGAGACAAACGGGACCTCGACAATAAACAGGCGAGAGACAGACACTCGAGCCATCTCTGAGATCCCATGTAAATTCACCGGGGGGCCCCTGGGGGCCTCGGCGACCATCAAAACAGACTCAAGGAGAGAAAGTGATGCTGTCAGGGACCATCAGAGTGGATTTTACCGCTCAGTGTGACACTTTTATGGACAAGAGAGACAAAAAGAGTCTGTTGTACGTCTTTGACACGGCAGAACAGGACGTATTTGGTGGAGGCTGATCGTTAAAACTCTTACCCCCAATTTCCACCACATCTGGAACGGCTCTGATCCAGAACGGCAGCGATTTTCACCATCCACCAATTCCTACTGGATCTGATTGTGAGGCAAATTTCCTGGCGGATTCAGGATGGCGGTAATCGCGAGAACTCACAAGAACCTGCGGATTCACGTGCAATCGCGTACAATTCCTTTCCAGCACGGGTTAATCTGTGCTGAATTTATCCGCCATGCTCCGGCGTCCAGAAAAAATCGAACTCTTGTGATCAGCTGAGGAGTCCGGCAATCCGCAGAGGAACGGAAAGAAGTCGGTGTAAATTGACACGTTAACTTGAATGGTTACGATCAGCTAAGATCGGAGGATACGACCTTTTAGGAGACGATCAGGATGAAGGTGGAAAATGGGGGTTGGATTCATCCATCAGCCTCTGAAATGACAAGAAAGATAATCGCTGTTCAGTCCGAGAAAATACTGAATTTCATGCAATAAGTTTTATTTAGTTGTCTTAAAGGGACATGAGACCATAGCCTACCGACACACATCCAAAAACAACTTTGACTTTTTTGACTCTGAATATACCGATATGGACAAAATGACATTGGTTATTGTCGTAAATTTAGGTATCGGTAAATTTTCGGTTTATCTCCCAGCCCTACTTGACTTTATGTAGTTATGTGTGTTTTTTTATGTGAAATTTGTAAACAGTATTTCTCAAACTTTATGAAACATCAGGAGTCGTGTCCACGGTTACCTGCAACAATCATTTTTTATGAAGGGAGGGTCGTCTGGTTTTATACGACTTCAGGACTCCTGGAAATCGGCTGAAATTACATTAAAATTCACCTCCCAGTTTGTAAATTTCACAATCGCCTTTAGAGACACGAGTATTGATATGGGAAAAATGACGTTGGTTATTGTCGTAAGTTTCAGTATCGGTAAATTTTCGGATTATCGCCCAGCCCTAATGTCACGGTATCAGAGGTGAAAATGGAGGCAAAGAAGTTGACCCAGGATCCCTACAACAGTCATGGTGCTGGACAGAAAATCTAAAAACTTTAATTAGACAAAGAAGTTTAGGAGTCTCTGAATGTGCTGAAGTGTTTGAGTTAAAGGTCAGAGGTCAGGGTTAAGTTTGAGAAGTATAATGATCTTTAAAAAGAAGGACCTCACTTGATAATAAGTCTCCAGAAAAGCATTAAAAACTGAAGTTTTCTCTCTAATGGGGACGAGAGTGAATGAAGTGGTTTTGCATTAGCAGGAGTTTAATGTGGAGGCTGCTCTGAGGTGAGGAAACACGATTACAGATGAAAATAGACTCCAGTTTTTGTTTCCCAAAGTGATGGTTGAACATCAGCCTGAGTCACAGAGGGAGGTCTCTGTTACCTCAGATAAACCTCGATCTTCTACGTCCTCCTCTCTTCGTACCGCTTTGACTTTGGTGGAGAGGGAAATCTAAACTAAGAACAAAGATCCTCGGGGCGCTCGTCGTACTCCGGGGTGTTTCATCCTGCAGCTGCGTCTTCGACTCGGACGAGAAGTTGAAAATGAAAAAGAAAGACGACTTTTCTGCTTCTGCTGTTTATCCTCATCTGTCCTGAAAACCCACGCAGCAGCAGAAACAGCAGAAACAGCAGAAACAGCAGAAACAGCAGCAGCTCTCAGGGTGAACCTGTGCGTTGGTCAGATATCCACACAGATGTATACAAATAGATGCTCCTCTTCATGGGTTTGTTCTGCATCTACATCTACATCTATACTGCGTGTTTTTCGGCTCTAAACTCACAGAGGACCTGAAGAGTATGAGGCGTAACGACACGTCAAAAGTGACAGATATGCAGCGCGACAGACTTTTACAATAATTACTCCGTCTTCCGGGAAGCGCCGCTCTGTAAACGCATCGACCTGTCAACCTATCAGTCCATTAACTGTCAATGAGACGAGCTGTGAGAGTTTTATTCCTGGATAATCATCTGGATTTACTTCAGACCCGTTAGTTTAGCTCCAACCGTCTTTGTCAGCAGACGTTACTCCGTCTACTTCTATTTTTACGACACTGTCCTTTAAGTGTTGAGGTATGTGAGTTAGTTTTAATAATGGTGCTGTTTTATTCTACTGAGGAAATGTAGATGAGTATCTTGTTTTTCTATATGGATTATATATCATCCTCAAAATAACTCGTGAAAGTTTCTGATCTTTTCCCAAATTCCGTTTCCTGTCAGAAAATTTCCAGAAACTCAAACTTTAATGTCTTTTTTTTTAAACGGTTATCTAATGACCTCCTTATGATATCTGGAAAATTTGCAGTTCCATCAGTGTCCACAGGGGGCTGGTTTAAAAAGCTCCTGATCTCTTCTAGCGTCATGTCAAAACGTCTGTTGTTGCAGCAGAATTTAACGTTTTTACAGCCCGGTCAAAAAAACTCACTCTGTCATTTTTCTAAAGTTTTTCTGAAGTTTTCTAAAGTTTTCTAAAGTTTTCTAAAGTTTTCTTAAGTTTTTCTAAAGTTTTCTAAAGTTCATTCTAACAGATTCTGAAGTTGTTTTTATTCGGACACGTTCAGGGACTCTCAGCCGAGTCGTATCCTCTCCTCTTTACACCTTTCCTCTCCTCCATGATCACAGCAGAGCCGTATAGATCGTCTCTGTGTGGGAGGATCTCAGCGGTTAACCTAAAGTCTTTCTGCTCATGAGATCCATTACGGCGCCTCCAGCTTATTAAACATCTGCACACTCCAGCTTTTAGAGATGAGTGGACTAAAACGAGTGGGCTGAGACGGAGAGACGATACTCTGGTGTGTGCAGCTCTGCGGTCAACGACGACCATTTCTGGACTTTTTAGTTTTTAGTTCTGAGTTTAATTTCTGAGTAAATGTTTGGTGTTTAGATTAAAAATGGAAACCTATAAAAGACACGATGTTCAGAGAAGAAGAAAGGAGGACGTTTGATTTATTTCCAGTTATTTCTTCAGTTTGGTTTCTTCAGTTCTCCGAGCTGTAATCGTCCTCTGAAGACTCTCCACAAACCTGGAGTGTCTCCCTCCTCTTCCTCATTATCACCTTCACTGTTTTCTGAAGAATAACCTCGTCTCTCCGTCATCCTCTCTCTCTCTCTCTTTCTCTCTCTGTATCTGAGCGTTCAGCAGTCCTCCTCAGGACCTGGAGTTAGTCTCTGGTTCCTGGTGCGTGTCTCCGCACGCCGCCGCTCACTGAGCGACAAAGAAAGCTGCAGGTCAGGTCCTTTAATTAGAGCCACTTCATTTCAGGTGACAGAATATTGACTTCGTACATGCTCTGAAAATGATCAGCTAAATCCCTTCAGCTTGTTTGCAGCGCTCCAATTTTCAGGTGTGTTGCTCTTTGGAGGAGCTTCAGTTTCCTGCTTTAAAACTGAAGGAGTCTGACGTTAGAGCTTCAATCTGAGGAGTCTTATTGTGCTTCTGTGAGGGATCGTCTCCCACTAATCCTGATTTAATTGATGTGGAAAAGACTCGGAGCGTTTCTGCTTTTCCAACAGAAAACTGAGACATGAATCTTTTATTTATAAGGTTGAGTTTTCATATGTTGTCAAAACAGGCAGAGATCTGCAGGCGATACAACAGAGATGGGACAAGAGTTCATGTCTGAGACGTTCACTTAAAGGTGCAGTGAGGAGTTTTTCTTCACGAGAAAATGAAACCATCGGAGACAAAGCTGAGAGTTTCTCTGTAATTTTCACACCTGAAACGACAGTGAGGGTTCGACAGGAAAGCAGGTGAAGTTTGTCTCTGAAACTTTAACTTGATATGAAATTAGACAAGAAATGAGCGCCTTTATTTAGGGGACACCCCTGCAGCTTGACTGTCTTGAGTGAAGTTACTTATTTCAAGATATTACATCTCAAAAATATGAACTGAGTGTTTGTAATTGTTTGGTTTTGGACATTTTTTATATTTTCCTTTTCAAAAATGATCTATGTCGTGTTTTCGGGTGTAATTTCTTAAAAACAAGAATTTTCCTGAATCTGACGGGTGAATAGATCATCAGTTAAGACACAAACTGCTGAGATTTGAGTTTTTTTCAGTGTATGTTTGTGTCATTGGAGTGTTACTGATTAAACTGACAGGTAGGGGGCGCTGTAGCTGTGTGTTATAAGGGCAAACTCAACTGGACTCAACTAAGTCCAGTTGTCCTTTCCATGCAGTGACTCTCACTCCAGAGTCATGTGACTAACCTGTTGGACAAAGTTGGTTTGAAATCATCTAAAAACATAAAAATCTGTTTTATTTCCGATCATTTTAACCCTTAAATGTCTTTTAAACTTCGTCCCTCAGAGTTCGGAGTTCTCCGACTCCAATCGGAGTTCTCAAACTCTGATTACAGTCGGATTAAGGTGTTAACGTGAACTTCAGTTGTCCGGTCTTAATCGGAATAAGGCGATAATTCGGTTTTCTCTTCCATACATACTTTTATCACACTTCTGTGTTCATTTAAAACCATTTTGAGTTTGTCGTAAACAGACACAAACACGCACACGCCTCCTCACGCTCCTGAAGTCGGAGTGCTGCAGCTTCTTCTACCACTAGGGGCAGTATTGAGGCATGTTCCTACAGCAGACAGTCGTCGTTTTTCCTTCCTGATCAGATTTATCCTTCCTGTGTTTGTTTTTTATCTTTCCCATGATACATCGAGGATCATCTGAGGTCTGCTCTCCATGTTTCACTCTGATGATTTATTGATGATTGATTGATTTATTGATGGCGGCTGTAAATAAGTCATGTGTGTGTCTGTATTCATAAATGATTCAGTTCATCTCTGAGTTATCCAGGACTCTCCGATCGTTTTAACACGGTTTAGTTTTGACATTATCTCCATCAACATCGGATTAACTCCGACCTGAAGCTTCTACGTCTTTATTAGATTAGCGTTGAACAGACTTCCTGTCACCGTCGTTGTTTAAGTCGCCACTTTAACAGAGCGAGGATTTTCATGACCCCCTTTAAAACCTTTTATATGTGCTCCACATTATCATCGAATATCCCGCCTGTCGTTTAGCTCTGATGACTCGGCGCTCGGCTGCCTCGGCCCTGACTTTTACAGATTGTTTTCCGAGCTCTGTCCTTGTCTCTCTCTCTCTCTCTCTCTGCCGCCTTTATTGAAATGTACGGCACGGCCCGGCCTCGGCCCATTTTCACAGAACCAGCAGCAGCAGCAGCGGTGATTTTATTGACTTATTACAAAGAGCCGCTGCTGCCGTCTAACCGATAGAAGCGCGGGCTTCATCTGTCGCCGCGGCCCTGGCAGTTAAAAAGAGATGATTTGCGGTGTTAACTCCCACGGCGCCCTAAAACAAGACGCTGTTCCCCCTGACAATGAACACTCACCGTCTGAACATAAACAAGAGTTTTATTGTGCTCCCGTCAACGCTTTGTAAATCATCCTCAGAGGGGAGGGAGGCGAACGCAGACCCCAACCTCTGCACACACACCGGGACGTGAACACAGGTGGACAAAACGCACGAGGCGAAGGTGTGAGACTCTCTGAACTCCACCTCTCTGCCTGTTTCTGTTCATTTCATTTAATGTTTTTTTTCGTGCCTCCAGAGAAAAACGACAAATCTAGACGGAGCAGAAAGTGGGACAGGTGTGCAGGTGTGCAGGTGTTCAGGTGCGGCGTGTGAAAATCCGCCTGCTCAGCTCTGTTCTTTCTGCTAACCTGGTTTTGTTTACGGCGGTACAGACCTCAGATCGCCGGGCCTCAGGGATTCTTCTCTCAGCATCATTAACTTCTCTCCTAATGATGGAGTTAATATACGTCTTAATGAGTGTGGCGTGGCCTCTCTCTCTCTCTCTCTCTTTGTCTGTCTCTCTCTCTCTCTCTCTCTCTCTCTCTCTCCCTCAGAGTTTAGAAGTTACAGGATTCTTCTTAAAGTTAAACTTCGCCCCTGAGGCTGAGCCGTCTCTCCACCCACCCGAGTAAATCCCCCGAACATCAGAGAGTCGATCAGTTTGATGGATCAGAGGGGATTCATATCATATTCTTGTTTTCTTGATGACTTTGGGCTCTGCTGGTTTCAGGACGGAGTCATGAAGGTGATTTCTGTCAATATTTGACAAGAGGAGTTCAGTTAAACTTCTGCTTTATAAGTTTTATTAATATTTTCTGTCTTTTCCTTGTCAAACATGTCAAACCTATATTAAACTGGAAACACTCGCCTGTCTGCAGCTTCAGACGTTAAAGATGAATTTACAGGTATCAGAAATTTGTGTCTGAAAACTTTTACTTCATATGAATTTAGATCAGAGATGATCCGGTTTATTTAGGGGTCACCACCGTGACTTCTTCATTTCTGTCTTCTACATTTAAATTTTTAGTTTTCTGTTTTTAAATCGATGTATTAAATTTTATCCTCCACTTGACAGGACAGCTGAAGAGAGACAGGATTCAGAGGTTCTGCTACAGGACTCTCGCCTCGATACGTGGAGCGCTTAGACCGCTTCGCCATCAGTGTCACCTTTGAGCTTCTTTACATAATGACGTCAGTTATTGTCGTAAATTTTCGGTTTATCGCCCAGCCTTACTCGACATTTTGTGGTTATGTGTGTGAATTTAAGTAAAAGTCGTGAACAGTCTTTCTCAAACATCAGGAGTCGTGCCAAAGGTTACCGCGACAAAATCCTGAAAATCAGCTGAAGTGGATCAAAATTCACCTCCTCAGTTTGTGAATTTCCTCTCAAGTTTTCAGACATCAGCATCATCGCACAAACTCTGACCAGTAACATGTTTTTCCCCTTTTTCCATGACTCCGCCTCCCCTCTGTAGGGTCATAATAAAACCACATCCTTATTAATATCCTCCAACATCTCTCTGTGTTTTTCGTCCGTCCTTTCACCGACTCTCTCGGTGTTGCGTCAGATTACATCTGCAGCGTCTCTCTCAGACGTCCTGATTTATCTGCAGAAACAGCTCTCTTAAATAAAACACTTCCCTCTCATTTAGCCGGCCTACGCTGCGGTTTGTCCGCCACGTCGGTGAGTAATGAAACACGCCAACAAAGTCTCCTTCCTGTTCTCCTCGCCGGTTTGAAATGAGCTGCGTTCAGGCGAGGCCGTCAGGAGATCTGGTGCACGCCCATTTGAGAAGATTAACTACAGAAATTTGCTTTACTGTCTGATAACAGGGTAGTCAGATCATTGCCCAAGGTGGTTTCTGGGGCAACAGCGCGGCTATCAATCAGCTGGGAGTAATCTCCGAACAAATCGTTGTCAGCATGCAAATCAGCGTCACATTTCAGAGCGTGTACACGGCGAGGAAAGAGGGAAACGTCTAACGCTAAAGATGACGGTTCGAGGTAAAGGAAGAGGAGATGAGCTGAGGATGGTGAAGAGGAGGTGGATTTAGGGGGACCAGGTACCAAGGCGTAGACCTGGATGAGGGATCCTGGTTCTGCAGGGTTCACTGAGAAGACTCAGGAGGTCAGAGAAGCGGACGGTAGAGTCACTTATCCAGAACCGAACCAGGACCACCCGCCTGAACACGATCCCAGAGAGCTGCTGAATTCTGGGAGGAGCTGCATAGTTAAAAAAAATAAACGCTGTCTCTTTAAGACTGATACAACATTCAACACTAGGGTCTAATTTTATCCCGTTTGAGACTAATCTGTAATCGGCCAAAACTTGCAGATGTTCGCCGATATTTTCAGAAATAAAATGCACGAATGAATGCATGAATAAGATTTGGTTTCGCTCCGAAACTGTTCCGCCATTTGAAAAGTTCCCAGACTTATCCTGTAGATGGCGCAGCGACCTCATGACAATCTTCATCCACTAAATACCTCAAGGCAATAAGTCAACAAGTTTCAGTTCAACCCACTTCACGATGTTTCCCGCTGTGCTGGTCTCGGTCACGCCGAGTTAACGGTGAAGCTAAAGTTAGAGTTAGCCACCTGCTATTAGCCTTGCTACACTGTTAGCCATGTCAGTAACGGTAGAATAAACAACAGAACACATTAGTGATCGAGCGACTTCTCTGACTGAGTCAGCTGCGTGTCTCCAGATGAGACTGGACCGGAAATGAGGAACATAAGACGTGGAGGCACCAATCGGCGAGGGGGGAGTTGAAAACGCTTTTGTGGTCCGAATTTGATTCATGATAAATACGTGGAATATTACTGAGATGATCAGTCGGTCTTCCTGACGGTGTAGAGAGCGTTAGCCTACAGTATATCGAGTGTTCCTCATTTTGAGTTGGAAGTTAACTGTTTGCACTTTACACAAAATCCCTCGTTCTTTTTCAGTTATTTTAGCAGTAAAAATGAGTTTTCTGCCTTTAATTCTTTGAAAAAGTGTTTGAAAGACTCAAAAGCAGCCGTTCAAAAAAATAAGTAAATATGTAGATATATTTTTAAAACTTAGTAAAAAATGTTAGAAATTGGCTGATTAATGGGTGATGTGGAGTAGTTATCGTTCATTTATCGTTATCAAGGTGAACTGATCAATATATCGTGTTATTGATTTGAGGCCATATTGAACAGCCCTAGTGTCAAGTATTCCAATAACAGAAATAGAGACCCTGAACCACCAGTTACTGGTTTTAACTCCAAACCCATTAACCATTTTATTCACGTCTTCTTATCTGGAATTTACATTTCTTACAAAAAGATGTTTTTAAAAAAGAAACTAGAGTTTATCCATCCAAGAAATTCAGATACTCATCAAAAGCCGACAAAGATTAATAAATAAATAAAAAACACCGAAAATACAGAGACAGAAAGTTCTTAAACACTCTTTAGGTTTAAGTTTAAAGTTACGTCCCGCTCGAATCGGTGGTTTAAGTTGACCTCTGACCTTTTCCAAGACACAGACGACTCTACAGCTTTGTCACTTTGATACTTAGGAAACCTTCGTAGCTTTGGTTGGTGGTTGGTGGTTCAGGTCCTGGTCTGAAGAGGTCCTTTTTAAAGTGTTTCATATTGAACAAACTCTAATAAACTCTAATAGTCGGTTTGGTGTCAGAAGAACAAAAACTCTAAGATCTATTTTGGATTCCTGCAGATCTCTCCATCACAGCGGCGTGGGCTTCTCCACCCTCCTGATGGATAAACATCATCCTCTCAGGCATGTAGAAGGTAAAAGCAGAAGAGCAGCAGCATCCGTCAGCCTTAATGGTTGTTAGCATAACTGAGTAACCAGAGCTAATGGTTTTACAGTCTGTTGACAGAAGAGTGGGACACCCATGTAAATGTTGATGAAGCAGAGACTCTGCAACAGGAAGGTGTTTACTATCTGTGTGTGTGTGTGTGTGTGTGTGTGTGTGTGTGTGTGTGTGTGTGTGTGTGTGTGTGTGTGTGTGTGTGTGTGTGTGTGTGTGTGTGTGTCTGACAGGGTGTAATGTACCTGCAGGGAGGAACTGAGCTGGAACTGCACAGAAACCATAAATATTAATCACCTGCTGAAACTTTTGATGAACACTGCAGCGGACCGTGGGCTGAACCTCCTCTCCTGAGGAGCAGACGTCCAATCAGAGATGACCGAGTCTGCGAGGAGAGAGAGTCAGAGACTCGGGTTTATCTTTGAGTCTGTCGGCGAGGTGGAAGAAGAAAAAGAGAAACAGAAACAGAAACAGACAACTTTAGAGAGAGAAAAAAACACGTAAAAAAACACGTAATAACCTTTAAAGGTGTGGTTTTTGGTGTTTATACAAAAAATCTTTTAATATCAGTCAATAGTTATTAGTTATTGATGACATTTGGTAATATATCGATATCTCTGTGTTCTCTTATGTCTGTGTCGTCAACATTTGAACATTTTTGAGCGGTCCGCTCTTTCTGACTGAAAACAAAGCCGTTCTCCACCTCCTCTAACCTGATTGGTTGTGAGGCAGACGCTGCTCCCCCGTGTCGTTCAGGAGCCCAAACAAAGTTAGCGTGCTACAATATCGGACAGTAGAAACCAACCAGAAAGTTCGGAAAATTGTCTGAATCCTCCTTTGGCCACGACTGCCGACACAAGCAAGAAAACACTCAAACATAAACAGTCCGCAAGAAAACAGTCAGCAAGAAAACAGTCAACAAGAAAACAGTCAACAAGAAAACAGTCAGCAAAAAACAGTCAACAAGAAAACAGTCAGCAAAAAAACGTCAACTCTAATCAGTCAACAAGAAAACAGTCAACCATAAACAGTCAACAAGAAAACAGTCAGCAAGAAAACAGTCAACACCAAATCGGTCAAAAAGAAAACAGTCAACAAGAAAACAGTCAACCATAAACAGTCAACAAGAAAACAGTCAACAAGAAAACAGTCAACCATAAACAGTCAACAAGAAAACAGTCAACCATAAACAGTCAACAAGAAAACAGTCAACCATAAACAGTCAACAAGAAAACAGTCAACAAGAAAACAGTCAACCATAAACAGTCAACAAGAAAACAGTCAACAAGAAAACAGTCAGCAAAAAAACAGTCAACAAGAAAACAGTCAGCAAGAAAACAGTCAACAAGAAAACAGTCAACCATAAACAGTCAACAAGAAAACAGTCAACCATAAACAGTCAACAAGAAAACAGTCAACAAGAAAACAGTCAACCATAAACAGTCAACAAGAAAACAGTCAACCATAAACAGTCAACAAGAAAACAGTCAACAAGAAAACAGTCAACCATAAACAGTCAACAAGAAAACAGTCAGCAAAAAAACAGTCAACAAGAAAACAGTCAGCAAGAAAACAGTCAACAAGAAAACAGTCAGCAAGAAAACAGTCAACAAGAAAACAGTCAACCATAAACAGTCAACAAGAAAACAGTCAACAAGAAAACAGTCAACCATAAACAGTCAACAAGAAAACAGTCAACAAGAAAACAGTCCACACCAAAACAGGCAACAAGAAAACAGTCAACAAGAAAATGCTGCTCCCCCGTGTCGTTCAGGAGCCCAAACAAAGTTAGCGTGCTACAATATCGGACAGTAGAAACCAACCAGAAAGTTCGGAAAATTGTCTGAATCCTCCTTTGGCCACGACTGCCGACACAAGCAAGAAAACAAAGTAAATACTGGAGACTCTGGAGGAATAACGGGCGCTTAAAACGGAGGTAGACCGGACAAGAGCTAAAAAGCCGGGTCAACATAAACGATGGGGGACGCTTGGGGATCTTGGTGACCCTGTAACCTTTCTGCTGGACAGGTAAACCGCTTTAACAAAGTAAGACAAGTGTCTGTAACAGAAGTGTTTCTGCTGTAGCGTGTTGTAGCGCCATCGCTAAACTACCTCAGTACGACGTTAAACCATTTGAGTTTTGCTTTGTTTTGTCTGCAGTTACCATGGTAACATCATCATCCCTACTAGCTTGCTAACACCTGTTGATGAATCCAGATGAACTCTCGTTGGTTCGACTAAGGAGACCCGCTGTAGTCCGCCTGTTTTAAAGGGTCATTTCAGCGTTTTTTCTCCTCTAACTTCTTCAAACTAGTTTCCTCGTCATCACTTATTCATGCACGCCTTGCTAATTTCCCTCCCCCTGCACTCCCGCCGCCTCGCCCTCGCGCTCTCATCCTTTTTGAACCGCTCAAGTGTGAGTGGAGGAGCCGTCGCCAGCTGCCGTGCTGCGGGAACTCATCATCCGTCCCCCGGGCGGAGCGGAGCAGGTTAAAGTGATGAATCTGATCCAAGATCCTGACAAACGCCTGCTGTTCAAGGAAACCGCTCCATTAATATTCACAAGTGCGTGCTCGCCCCGGCGTGGGGCGGAGGGGAGGAGGAGGAGACGCCCTTAAGTTGAGAAATAATTACAGCAACTTTTCCTGTCCGTCTGCCAAGAAGGGACAGACGTTACAGCGGCGCTACACCTCGCACTTTACCAAACGTCATCTTTCATTACAGCGGCGTGTTTGAGTTTACCTGCAGCAAACACGGAAAACTAAAACAACACGACAACGCCGCCAAAGTTTGTCCTTCCTGTTGTGTTACAGTTAATAGACCTCCTGCAGAGAGGCTGTTGGCCGTACACGCCTGTGCGGGACTCTCCTCCCTCCTGAATTCATTAAAGACGGTAACGATCCGTCGCTCTGACAGTCCGGGGCGAGGAGGGTCAGCAGAAAAAACCTCTTATCTAGATTATGGCGCTCGCCACCAGCAGAGAAATTCACAGGAAGGATGTTAGAGATGCAAATCAGCTGAAAACAGCGTGCTGTCGCCTCAGTAATGGCGACAAAACTCCAATCTGCGGATCGTTTCCATCGTTTACCTTTAAACGTCTTTCAGATCCAGAAGGTTCCAGCTGGACTCATTACGTGTCTCTCAGTCTGTTATTAAAACAGTCAGGACAACAGCCGCGGCGGCGCAGACCGTATCAGGGCGTCACGTAATGAAGTTGATAATGAAAGCATCGATTTCGTCCCGCGAAGGTCTCGGCTGAGTTTCTCCTGCTGGATGATCGCTGTCACCAGAATGAGGCTCGTTCTCCAGACTCTCTCCGCCGAGGATCCGGGCCGATCGATCCTGAAAGAGTTTTAATCACTTTAGTTTAAGAGGCTGAAAGTCTGACGAGTTTGAAGACAGACCCCCACCACAAAACAGAATCTTGTCCACTCCACCTTTAAAAGACAGCCAGCTCTGTGAAAGTCATTCTATCATGTTTGGCGATTGTTTTGGTACAGAGGTGGGTGAGGGTGCTCATGGGAAATGTAGTCTTTGCCCTCGAATAAAACACTAGACTTATATTGAAGACTGTTGTATGTCAGGAGGAGACTCTTCTTGTCGTCGTTGTTCAGATAATAAACACGTTTGTATTTCCTGTTAGCTTGATCGTGGTTTTAACCTCACTAGCGCGAGGTTAGCTAAGCGATCTGAACTGAGAGTAGACCTCTTTGACTTTGAGTCGGTCTTTAAATCTGTCCGTCTGTCCAGATGTTCCTCAAACAGCCTCTCTGTCATCATCGTCCATCAGCTGTTGTCTTTTATTCCTCACATCTGCTCTAATCGTCTGTATTTGTGTGTCAGCGGCGTGTTAAAGTGAACCGCCGTGGCGTTGGTACACCCTTTGTGACACTTTACTGATACAGACGGTTTCATTTTTCCTGCAACATTTATGTAAATGAACTCCTCACTCCTGCCAGCGTGTTACTGCGCTCCTCCATCCTGGAGTTGTGCGGCAGCTGTCCACACAGCAGCACGTTTCCTCTCCCATGCAGCTCCGCGGCGTTGGCTGCGGTCCGCTCTGTGACAGTGGGCTGCTGTGGCGTTTTTCTGTGGAGCGTTGTCACACTTCCCCGTCCCTGACCGGTGGTTTTCATGGGAGTCTGAACAGCAGGCAGCTGCTCCTGCCTCTGTGCCGCCAATATTGTTGTAACAGATGTCCTTGGCCACACACACCTGGATGTGATGCTTTCCAACTTGGCTCGCCGTCTCCCCCGTCGCAGAATCAGCAACATGCTGGATTCAATATTGACGTGTGCTGCTGCAAGCTTGTGGAGTCGGGGGGTTAGTTGTCATCCTGGTGACATAAATCCTGATTTAATGTGGCGACACGGCGGCTTTCTGAAGGGATACTTGAGACGTTTCTGAAGAGGAGCAGTAAGAGGTTCTTATTAATGCACAGCAGGTCCTCATGACCGACAGACAGCAGAGGAAGAAACCAGAGAACCAACGCCGACGCTGAACCCAACTCAGAGCACAACAATCTGATTTTACAGCTCGGAACATCTCACAGTATTTTAGATTTTAGTTTAAATCTGTGCTTTATTGTGTTTTATTTACAAATATACAAGTTTTTTATCCTATAAGGTCTGAATCTCCGACCGTACACTGCAGTCAAACAGATTTTTGGGTCACGTTCTGGTTTGTTCGAAGTCACGATACATCCGCATAAACAATAGCTATCCTAAAAAATGTATAAATGTTGATAATATCCCAAAATAAGCATGTGGTCATACCCTGAGTTTATGGAAGTGTTTGTTTATGTTGGTTGGCAGATGTAACCACGACTCAGAGGTGAATTACTAATGATCTACTGGAGCTCTGCAGAAGAAAAGTCCTTAAAAACGACAGGTAATTAGATTTTGGCTAAAAACTCAGACCACTGAGAACACTTTAATTAGTAAAAAAAACAATCAGAGTGGGACTTTAAAGCTCCTGTCATGAACTGGACCACAGGCGCCCTCTTGTGTACAAATTAGTCCCTGCTCCTCTTATCATTGACGTGGTTAAGAAATCGTATCCTGCTGACTTTGACGGTCAAATGTACACGATAATAAGACAACAATATAAATTTATGTCTTTTTTACAGACGTTAGAAAACTCCTCACTGGAGCTTTAATTTAAATGGATCTAAATTGGATTAAAGATGGCGGCATTGACCCTGACTAACTTTGGTGAAGCTCCAACCTTTGGTGTAGAAAAACATGCAGACGGAAAAACTGCAGGTCCTCTGGTTGATGTTTCCGACCGCTTACTTCTCTAGTTATACCAACTTTAGTAACGACCGCAGGATAGAAATACAGAGAGCCACGCCCTCAACCAAAACGCCACTCTATAGCCACAAATAATGCTCAGAACAGCACCTAACTTCATCAACAGGACATATAGGGTCACAGACATAGTACTAGTAAGACCTCAGGCCAGTCCATTACAGACTTCAGCGGGGTGCCGCAGCTCAAGGAAGACCATTTATGATCATTACTTGCACTACTACCAAACGCGGTAGTTCTTCTCCTTTAGCCTCTCTGTCTGATTGTATTTCCATGGAGATAAAGGTGTCTAACTCAGTGTTACAGTGTGTGTTTGACCCTAAATTAATTTTACGCCGGAATATCCCTTTAATACTTCAGCTCTAACAGGGGCCGTGTGTTTATGTAGACCAGTGTGAGTATCTCTAAGAACCTGATCCAGCCTCACTTCAGTCCCTCTTTAAAGGAGTTTTACACCCTGAGATGAAAACTGCAGACACACACACACACACACACACACACACACACACACACACACACACACACACACACACACACACACAGACCTGGTTTCTGTGTTCTCCCTCTGTCAGCAGTCCAGCTGGAGTCCAGGGAGCCCGACGGCCCCATTAGCTTGTTTTGACAGCCTTAATTAATACCGGGCTCTTCTAAACCAGATTTATACGTCAGACACGCTGCCGGCTCTTCCAGCTGAGGGAACCGTGAGTTTAGGACACGCCGCCGCCGCCCGCCTTCATCATCCGTGTTTCCTCCTCCTGTTTGTTAATGCGGCGCAGTAAACAGGAGCGTCTGAAGAGAGACTTTCAGGCTGATATTGATTCATAAATCTGGAGGGAGAGCGAGGACTGAGGCAGGCGTCACGTTGAAACAGAAACAGAGAAAAACAGTCAGTGTGGGCGGTTTTCTGCTTTTACTTTAAAACTGAGAATATAGTGAGAAAAACGTGATATTTAAGGCAAACTTTAAACGTCTAAATGAGCGAATGTGAGTGTCATTAGAGCCTTTTGGTGTTTGCCTCTTTTGTAATTTGTTATTGACGCCAATAATGGAAATCAATAAGCTTTTACCTGGAACCCAATAAACCTTCAGAATAAGACATTAGCTGTTATAAACACTGTTGGAGTAACGAGAGAGAGAGAGAGAGAGACCTCCTCAGATAACCTTTAACATTTAAGAGCCTTAGAGACGGAATTTTAGACCTTCTTAAACCGGGAAAAACACTGATCTGTGAGCCAAGAACTTCTGTGTCTGTCGTTCCTTTAATAAAGGACCAGTACGCGTATTTCTGATGTAAACACCACGCTGTCTTGTATTTTATTACATACAATGTTACAATACTGGATGTCCATATTAGGGCGGGACGATATGCTTTTCTCCTGATTTGATTCGATTTAAATTGTGATTCTATGATATCGTCAATTTTCTCGATTTTTATTCTGCATTTTTAACTCCAGTAAAACAGTTAATAATTATGATTGTCTACTGACTATTACAGGAACCATATTTACCCCAAATATACACGTCACATGTGAGTCAGTTTTTAAGATTTATTCTTGAATTTGTCGTTGTCGTTGTTTTCTTCCGCCTTATCCTGGTCCGGGCCGCGGGGGGCAGCAGCTTTAGGAGCTCCTCCGGGGGGATTCCCAGGCGCTCCCAGGCCAGGCGAGAGATATTGGGCTGGCCACGAGGTCTCCTCCCGGTGGGACATGTCTGGAACACCTCTAATGGTAGGCGTCCAGAAGGCGTCCTAACCAGATGCCCGAGCCACCTCAGCTGACTCCTCTGGACGTGGAGGAGCAGCGGTTCTACTCTGTTTCTCCCCCCTGGTTGTGATGTTGACATGTAGTTACTGTCAGACTGGTTTGTGCTCAAGTCCTCTTTTTTCTGCTCCATTTTTAAAAGTTATTAGGGGGTTCATGTTTTCTATGATTGACACCTGATACAGCCTATGGGCGTATGAAGATGGCATAGCTCACCTGGGGGATACGCTGTTTGAGCCGAGTGTCATCACAGCGACTCTCCCACCGAATGCGCAAACACTACTGCGCAATGTTGGTTTCAGGAAATGGAGAGAAAACGTGGAAATACGGCGAGTTTTTTAGCTTCAAATTCATATACAGGCTGAAGGCAGAACTAAGTCGTCCAAAGTAAATACAGTCTGTGGTCGGATCAGAGTGCTCGCTCTGCTAAAACCAGCTGATGGTTTCTCTGTGCGGTTGTCGTCCATCGTTTCAGTTGTCGGATGTAAATGAGGAGAAGAATCCTCCAGAGAGGTGATCCTGTTCAAACACATTTTCAGCTGCTCCGGGGTTTGTTTGCTGATAATAAAGTGAGCCCACATCTTCTAAAGTTTACAGTTCAGTTCAGGTCCAACCTCTCCTTCAAGGTAAGATGGAGAGCTTCATTACTGCTCCGGGTTTTACAAAAGGAGAGGAGGGAAACGTCTCAGACGAACCTCTGAGCCAAAATATCGCAGAACTTTACAGTCCCCGTGAGGCAGGTTTTTAGGGAGTTTTCAGGACATCCTGGAGCAGTAATTACACTTTTTAGGTCGATTTGTTTCCCTATAATTAGACTAAAACTTGTTTGAACTTTAGTGCAAGTGCAGTCTTTTTCTTTTTAGCTCTGAATCTGCAGCATTTAGGGGAAGGACTGTGGAGTATTTTGAGTAGAGAAACAAACAAACCCGACTGTTTGATATGATACGGAGGCCCTGAGTGGACATTAACTCATTCAACTGTGTGGGGGAGAAAAGTCAGGGTGATCCTGGAGGGAGAGACATAAATCCAATAAAGAGTTAAAGGCAGGGTTGACGACACCACCCCCCCACACGCAAACCGCTCCCCTCTGTGCTCCACCATAACTCCTCCCCTGAACCTGTATTGCCCTCCCCACGACACACCCCCTCTGGCAGAAGATCCTACGCTAGCTTCAAATAGGATTCTCCATGTCGGATTGTTAGTGACTAGCGGCAGTAAACGCCAGCTCTGCTAGCGAGCGCCAATAAGAGTCGAGTTAGATTCCTCGCTTGGTCACATTTCCTCTTCGACTCCGCCCTTTCTTTTGTTGGCTTGCGTTTTCTTCCCACTTTTGGCGGTGTGGCGAGCAGAAGTGTTTTTTTTTTTTGCGTCCTTCTCCATCACAGTTCCTGTAGCTAAGCCGCTACGCTACTTTTAGCCGCTCAGAGCTCCGAGGAGGGCTGGGAGAGTGGGAGGGGACGAGTCGAATACAGCGAGGTGATTGGATGGAGAGGCGGAGCAGGAGATTGACCAACAGGAGCTGTCCGGGACACAATTTTTTTTTTGTTGGATGGTAGGGGAAGGTCCCGCCCTCCTTCGCCTCTGATTGGCTAGAAGTGCTGGGCTCTGATTGGTTATTCCTAATGGCTGTGAAACGTCGTCGTCTATCGGGTTCGGAGATTCAGAAGTGCGATAATGTTCTGTTTGATGTACAGAGCTGACAGCCTGCGTTTGGCTTGAGTGTGTGATGACGTTTCCAGCTTTTCTAGCCAATCAGAGGCGAAGGAGGCAGGATATCGCATCTGTGACGGATGGCTTCCATTGGTCAATGTTTTTGCAGCCCTGCACCTGCTAGGGTGAACGGATTTTTCTGTTCTTTTTCTCGTCACTTTGTAGAGATTGCACTATAGGACCATGATCGCCATAGAAACGAGGTTCATAATGATTACCGATCTCTACATTCGTCAATCATGACTTTAAGAAGGCAGAGAAAGGATGACAGAGGATCATCTCGGCTTTCTCTTCAAATCTTTTTTTAAATTTTTTGTTCCCGAGTGTCACCTGATAAAAAAAAAACAAAACAAAAAACTTTATCACTGCAGAGCGATCTCACGGAGCGAGTGGATTTTACTCTCAGTTTCTTTGTCATACTGTAAACACAACAATGTTATTAGTATATACGGTGGCACCCACCCTGTAAGATTTTAAAGGACAATTCCAATTTCC